CCGTGGCACGTGTGAGGAGTTTCGATCGGGAAACTCCACGAGAGAGTCTGCCTACCGAGGACTCGGAGCCCCCGGAGCAGTGGCCGTCAAGGGGCAAGATTGAGGTCAGGGGTCTCGGGGCCAGCTACAAGTGAGTGGTGAATCAGTAAAGTAAGAAGAAAAATAGGATATTGACAGTTTTGAACAGGCCTGAAGGAGCTCTTGTCTTGGATGGGTTGGATGTGGACATCCAACCTGGCCAAAAGATCGGATTATGTGGTCGAACTGGGAGGTAAGCAATGGCAAGGAACTAAGTCGCAAATTCATCAGTTCCCAAGAAATCTGACGTTTTTAATAGTGGAAAGAGTTCTTTTGTTTTGTCGCTTCTGAAAATGGTGGAATTGCAACAAGGAGAGATTCTTATGGACGACTGCACCATTGAATCCATGCCACGCTCAACTCTCCGGCGTAGATTGAACGTCATGCCGCAGAATCCTCTCATCCTTTCCGGAACAATGCGATTCTGCCTCGATCCCTGGTCAGAGAACTCTGACGACAGGATTCAATGGGCACTGGAGGAAGTAGGCATGTGGGAGGTCATCACTGAGAGGGGCGGGTTGGATGTCAAGACGGATGACTGTCCGCTCTCTCGTGGCCAGCAACAGCTCATTTGTCTCTCCAGAGCTCTCCTCGGAAAGTCCAAGATCTTGATACTAGACGAGGCGACTGCGAACCTGGATCAAGAAACGGAAGCCAAGATGATGGAGGTTATTAAGAAAAACTTCTCGCAATGTACAGTCATCATGGTTGCACATCACCTGCATACTATCAGGGACTTTGACAAGATTATGGTCCTTGATCGAGGCAATCTTATGGAATATGGCAGACCTGATGATTTGTTGTCCCGTTCCAGCAAGTTTCGTGAGATATGGGATAGTCAGAGTTAAAGTAGCATGATCTAGCGAAAGTAATTTGATCATATCTGAGATATTCACTTTCAAAGAGACCAAATTAAATGGAACAAAAGGGAGAGTTGATGCAAAGTAACATTCTCCTATGTTGATAAACTACCTGGTCCCGTAATCAACGGCCCTACTTATTAAGTCGAGCTGCCCGAGCCGGGTCTCTCCAAAATTGACAAGCTTCCGTTCGAATGTTGTCCAGATCCACCGTTGTACCACCCAAAGGCTTGACTGTCAATTGCAGCGATCCATTATTTGCCTGATTGACTTCATATTTGGGCCAACTTGGACTTCCCTCGTACCGATAAGTGTTTGGATCACCACTGACGACGAAACTCGATAGATAGCCGTGGTAAATGTGACTGACATCAGGGTACTGAACTGATAAAGGCTCATCCCAAGTATACCTGGTGTCCGCAGTATGTGGAATCCCTTGCCAGGCGGGAAAGTTGTTGTTGGTGTCGAAACGGACTTTCCATGTTGGCACACCTGCAAGAGATGTACGGGTTGCAGTCTCTTGCGAAGGGCAAATGTAAGCATAGTCGGACCACGCAGCAGCCAGACGATTATACTGTGTGCTGTTGGGAGAGTTGGCGAAAGGGGACGAAGGATCAGTTGCCGGGTCTGAGTAGAGAGATTCAAGTAAAGACAGATCATCGCTGGTCAGAGCTGGCGAAATGTTGTGCAGGTAGTCCAGAAACTCATCGTTCGTCTCTTTATTCCCAGGAATGTAGAATTTCCCTTCATCTGTAACAGAAGAAGTAATGACTGGGACATGGAAGAAGGTGCCATCGTATCCAGATTGGGAGCCAAACTTCTCGAGGAGTGGCCCACCCTTGGTAGGTTGAAATGGCCATGTCAATGCGCCATTGTAGTCATTATATAGCTGTACACTGATGTTCCGGATATCTCCAATATCAGCACTTCTTAGACAAGATAGGGTAGCAGCATTATCTAGTACTTGATCACAGCCCAAGTATGAAAGATATTTGGCTGTTTGCTCTGCATACAGAGGATAGTGGGCATCAGGGAATGCTCGCGCCGTCACAGAACCTGACTGGTGTATAGCCCGTGCGAAGAGTGGTTTACCCTCATCTTCGCCATAGTTATGGAAATAGTGAATACCAACAGAGTGTCCCCCAGCAGAGCGACCGCCAATGGTGACAGAGTCGGGATCACCGCCGAAGGAGCTGATATGCCTCTGAACGAACTTGAGCAACAGATGCTGATCACGGATTCCCAAGTTTAGGAGGCCCTCTTCCTCGAACAGAGGAGAGGAAATGAAGCCCAAGGAATTGACCCGGTAGTGAAATGTCACGACGATGACGGGCTGCTTGGACGAGGCGACAAAGGAGGGACCATCAAAATTGCGCCAACCCCCAGAGTAGAAAGCACCGCCATGAATCCAAACAAGGACGGGCAATTTCTGGCTGCGAGGGATACCGGAAGGTCGAAAAATATTGAAATTTAAGCAAGCTTCATCCTGGTCTTCTTCGCTGATGCTGGATGTGGCCTGGATACAGCTCTTTCCGTAACTTGTCGCAGCCTTGACACCTCTGAACGAAGGGGGCCAAGTAACTGGGCGAAAACGGCCATCGCCTACAGGCTGCGTCGCATAATCAATTCCTAGCCAAGAATCGATATCCTGAGCAAGAGAGGCGCCACTCAGTGTCGAGTTTATCAGTGTCCCTGTGAACGAGCCATACCCCTTGAGCACCACCGGATCTTGCGTAGATGCTCCCAGACAGAGCACAGTCTGCGCGGCGCCTGTGAAGATGTTTTTCAGAGAAACCATGGTGCCAGAAACCTCGTTTGTGTGCCCAGTGTCAAAGAGACACGAAAGGAGAAGAAACCACCGCAAGTGCCTCGACATGCTTTAATAACTCATCCGACGATCGTTGTTGATTACGATTCATACCAGGCCTCTTTCGCAATACCGGGATTTCTTGACGTTGCACTTCGAGGGTTAATCCGCATGGAACCCCGCCGAGCGTGCGACATTATTAGTTGTAACTGAGCAGCTTCTCTCCTGGTTCCATTGCTGGAAATGGTTAGAATCGGAAAAGTGCCGACAGTGACATACCGCGTCAGGGCCGAAATGCAATCCCACCTATGGCGGATTAACCCCTGTGACGGCAGTGAGAGGCTCGCAAATATCTAGAATTTGTACATTCATACAGTATCTATGTTATCTAGAATTAGAGCCACTGTACCTTGCAAGCACTTAAAAACTCTTCGTTTGAAGGGATGCTTTAATGACAGACCCCGGCCGTCCTTCACTGTAGTGTCCGAGATTCAATGGTGGGAGATGCAGATTGAATATACCATGTGATATTGTTGCCGTCCACATCTAAAATAGCTCCTCTAATGAGCTCTAGTCACACTAAACAACTCCTTTGCATTCCCTGAAGCCACTGTCATGGGGTAGACACCCTGACTCAAAAGGTTAGACAACCCTACTCAACAACCAAAACACCGCGGTATCTCATTTTGCCATCGCGAAGCTTCTGCATGGCCTCCTCAACTCCAGACTGTGTCATCGGGAACTTCTCGATTTGAGGCTTGATGCCCTTCTTGGCGGCAAAGGAAAGCATAGCCCGGACGGATGGGATCGATGCAAGACCTGAGCCAATGATGCTGGTGCCTCGCATGATAAGAGTCAATGGACTGACGTGGAATTCTTCCGTGCTGATGGTGAGGGGGAAGACCTTGGCTCCGGGAGCCAGGAGGGACAAGTATCTTCACTTGGTTAGATTCTATGGCAGCTCAGGTTATTCTGAAATGTTACTTACTGGGATAAATCGGGGTTGGTATTTGCAGTGATCAACAGAACATCGAGCTTCTGAATGGTGGAAAGATCCTCTGACCCATTGGTGACGTGGAACTCGGAAGCTCCAAAATCAAAGGCCGCCTGCTTCTTGGATTCTGTGCTCGAGAATACGACGGCCTCCAGCCCCATCTTGGAAGCGAACTGAATGGCAAGGTGGCCGAGTCCGCCAATGCCGATGATTCCAACACGATCACCGGCTCCCAGACCTGAGGTGTACAAGGGCCCCCATACGGTGGCCCCTCCGCACATCAGAGGCCCAGCGTACTCGAGTGGGATTTCGTCTGGAACCTTGAAGAGAGCCGACACGTCCCAGGCGACGTAAGTGCCGAAACATCCTTGGTCCTGGTCGGCAGTGCCGAAAGTTGTCATATTCACACAGCGGTCCTGACGGCCTTTGCAATTTTTAGCCACCTTTCCTGTTACATGTAGTCAAGACTCATGATATCTTACCTTTGACACAAGAATCGCAGTGGCCACAGAACTTGTGGAACCAACCCATGCCAACCTTGTCTCCTACTTTGAACTCGGAAATTTCGTGGACAGAGGAGCCAACCTCAGTGATGACGCCAACACCTTCGTGTCCTAGGCCTTGGTCGGCATGGCGGTAGTGTTCATCGGTACCGCAAACGCCGCAGTGGGAGATCTTGACAATCACCTCGCTTGGCTTTGGGTCACGGTGGCCCTTGGCCTCGACAATGGCTCCGCTGCTTGAGCCCTTGAAAACAGTAAAGTCAACTCCCATGTTTGCGGGTGGATGTGTTGGTGTAGAGTGATATTGTGTGAGCGGTTGCTTGGTTGTGTTGCTTGGTTGCTGAGTTTGTTGAGACGGACATCATCTCTGGCTCAGCCCAGACACTTATATACTTTTTCTCCCATTATCTTTTCGTTCTCTTGGAAGCAGGCACCAGATTGATGATGCTCTCTTTGCTTCTCCTTGATCACAAATCTTTTTGTCGGCTGGCCGTCTCCACTTAAGACCGCCAGCTGGGGCCAAGCTGGGGCCCATATAAGACCGCAAGACCGCAGGGCCATAGAGCTGAACCGCTTACTACTTTGAAACGACGCTGCTATCGGATATTCGGACATAGCACTAGTCTTAGGACCGAAAATAGCTCACCCTAGTAAGATAACGCGGTGCGTCCAGGACTTGCTGAGATACAATGGTGTCAAATCAACTGTTGGCCAAGAGATATGTAGATAGATACGCGAATTAATTATGCTGGCTAGTGTTACAACGTTTCCCTGATTGCAAAGTAGTCTTCCTCAGCCACCCCCCTACAGCTTACGACCACCATCTTTTCAAACGTCTCTAATGAGCCGCGAGGAGTAACGGATTTCAACAATATGAAGTCTCTGTAAGGAACGGTCTCATCTTGGCTCGGGTACTGCAAGAAGGTTTCTGGGGAGCTCCAAACTCCCGTCTTGGTGGAAACGGGCAACTGGGCCATCGCATTTACCTCAGTGCACGCGCCGTATTTGAATGACCAGTAGAGCGTGTATAGCTTGAAGGTGGCAACGACAGTGCGCCGGACGCTTTCGCTCAGTAGCCAAGCCTCCCAAGCGTTCTGCGTTCTTTCGTGCCTGGCATCCAATCTCTGAAGGAGCTTGAGGCCAAGTGACCTGAGCACATATTCCTGCTGCTCGGCCGCCTTGCGCTGCTCTATCCCGCCGTAGATAATTCTGATCATCTGGTACAGGACACTTGCTTGTAGCCTGACAAGATCCTCAAACAGCGTGCTCAGGGGGGTTGGTACGAGTAGTTTTGCCAACTCAGCATCCACGGCCTGGAAGAGGAATTTCCGGTTGCGGCTGTTGAGCGTTATGCATCCTGCGCAGATTCCCCAGGCGGCCCGTAACGGACCAGGGGCCAGAGAGCCTTGGTTCAGATCTTTGTGGATGAAGAAGGTCTCTGTGTCCTGGGCATATGTGGTTGGACAGGCTTTCATCTCCTCGAAGATCCATGCATCGTTGCCCAGGCCGAACACGGGCTCCAATACGCCCAGATGGCCAATGATGGACGGCACACCGAGGGATTCTGGAAGGCGTATCTTTATTAAGGAACCATCCCAGTTGAGCTGGTGTTGCGTGCGGGATGGGCTGCGGTCCTGAATGGGGACAAGCTCATCTGTCGGACTGCCGGCCGAAGATGTCTCTGCGAGGGATGATTGTCCCTTGGACTTGGAGAGCTCCACATTGGTCGCCGCTCGCTGGTTGGGTGGATAGACGTAATTGCAGCTCTTGTTATTCTTTTCGCATCTTTTGCAGACTGGGTATGAGAGATCGCACTTGCGGCGCCCCTTGAAGCAGGGGCCGCACGACTTGCGACGTATGGATACGCTGGAATGGCTCATGCTGGTTTCTCTCTCTCTCTCTACATATTGAGTCTTGGAGTAATCGCTGCCTCGGGAAACACAAACTGGTAGGCGAAAACCTGATGGTTGGGAACGGCTGGGTCGAGGCCCTGAGTCTCAGACGAGATGCGGTGCTGACAAATTCGCAAGCGCGTCAGCAGAGAACTGACCCGGAGAAATTATGTCAGGATTTAGGGGATTGACTAAATCCGACTAAGGTTTTTAGGGTTCTCTCAGGCGGTTTTAGTCCTGAAATTATTAATAAGAAGTGGCAAGGTCAAATTTCAGCAAATGCTCTCAACCCTGATTCTCTGTGGCTATCATCAACTCGCCAGTATGAACAATCTATTAGATTTCAAATATTCTAAGATGGTGCATTGGTCGCCTTTATAAACTCTCCCCAGCCCCTTTTCTGCATTCCTCCAGTTCTCGGTATCCCTCCGCCGGTTCCAAGCCCGTTGCGCTCCCTGATCATCTCCAGAAGAGCCTTCGTCAGCTCCTGGAAAGAGACATGGAGGCCACCCAACGGCGAACCATCTTCCTCTTCGCCCACTCTCACGAATACATCTCCAATTATGTTCTTCGCGATGGTTTCAACATCACGGCCATTGGCCCACCCTTTGGTACGGGCCAGCTGGTTGAAAAGCTCGTCAAGGGCTCTACCAGTTCCAGTTCCAGGTCCGTCCAAATCGCGCGGAATCGTGATCTGTAGTTTCGCAAGAGATTGCCTGAGGAGTTGCAGACAGTGTGCTGGCGTCAGGTTCGGGAACGTGATGTGGGTAGGGAACCGACTCCGGAGTCCCGGATTCGTTTGCATCAGTTTCTCCATCTCCTCTCCATACCCAGCTAGGATGACAACCATGTTTCCAACGTAGCGCGGCTTGGTCATGGCATCTACGATCTCGTCGACAGCTTCTTTGTGGAACTTATCTCCAGTCAACCGATAGGCTTCATCGATGAACAGGACCTTCCCGAGTCCCATCTCAAAGTGGCTGATGACTTTGGGTCCAGTTTGCCCGAGATACTCGCCAATAATGTCCGTGACGGAGCAGGTAATGACCTCGTCCGATGAAATTAAGCCCATGTCGTAGAATAATTTGCCCACTTTCCTAGCCGTTGATCTAGAGAAGGGAATAATTAGAGTGGTCTTTTGTGCATGCCCAACAGGAGGCAACTCACGTTTTCCCCGTCCCAGGCGGCCCTTTGAACACAAACGCCCAAGGGATATGTGGTCGCGGGTCTATATTATATCTTCGCATTCCGTCTGCCATCTTCTGATATCTTCTGAATCGCTCGGTGATCTTCTCGAAGCCCACGAAGTCCTTGAACAGACCATGTCGTGCCTGGTCCGCACGAGTGGCTCTATCAAAATCCGGATCAAAGTCCTCTGCCTCTAAAGGGTGGTCACTCTTGTCGACGGGATACAATCTTGTAGCACGCAATCTTCCTACCTGCCTCAGGTTCGCCCGAGACAGCAGGCTCTCCACTTCACCAGCGTTTCCGAAGCGAGGCCTCGTACGCATCTTCCTCAGAACGTCTAGGGCAGCTTTACGGCCGCCTTCCGAGATGCTCACCCCGTCGCTCGCCATTTTCTGCTCAAGGATTTGGCAGAGCTCACTCTCATTGTAGTTGTTGAACACGACGGCACTCTCCAAGGGAAACCGGCGCTGTAGCCCGGGGTTGCAATTCAAGAACATCGCCTCCATCTTGTCAGCGTAGCCGCATAGTAGAACACACCTGTCTTCACCTGGGCTCCCCGAGATATTGGCTACAAGGGTATCAATGACGCCAGTTCGAAAGGAGTCGGAATTGTTTGTCCCTTGGTAGAGCATGTGCGCATCGTCAATGATGAGCAAGTTACCCATGGCCTCTTCGAGGACTTGTCGCGTATTCCTCTCCGAGTGGCCGATATAGGGCCCGATCAAATCATTTGGGGTTTTCTCGATAACTTGACCTTTTGATAGTAGGCCCAAGTCTGTGAGGATCTTTCCGTATATCTTCGCAACAGTGGTTTTGCCAACGCCTGGCTCTCCCAAGAAACAGCGATTCAGGATGATCGGTAAATTCTTCTTTCCTTCGATTTCTCGTTGGCGATTGACGCTGGCCAAATTGAAAATATGATCGACCTCCTCCTTAACACCCTGCAGGCCAACCATACTTTGCAACTCTTTCCAGGCAGCGCTGTTATCCCTCAGATCAGAGGGCTTGGGACCCAGCACATCCTCAACCTCGAACCCGACCTGCTTCGGCTTTTGCTCATGGAGAGGTACACCCTCGACAGGGGAGTTATTCTTCATCCACTCCAACAACTCCTCTTCGTGACGTTTCTTCCGTCGAGTATCCAATTCGTCTAGTTCTTTTTGCAAGTCGTGGATGTTGGTGAAGGTCTCATGGGACTTGTTGCATTGTTGCGCGAGCTTTTGGGCCAGTAAGCGTAGGATAAGTTCTTGATTGTGAATATCCTCAAATTCTGGCCTCTTTTTAACCAACCGCTTTAGGAGCGCCGCTATCTCAGCCTCATCGTAGTTTTTGAGAGCAATAGGCTTAGGAAAGGGATCGCGCGATTCCTCAGTGTGGTTGAGAACGTCCATTAATTCTTCCTTTATTGACCTGTACGACAGGATAAGAACGGTAGGATCTGGCCTCTTTTTAAGAGCCTCGAGGATGCTCGTAATATCAGAACTTTGATTGATTCGCTCCGCTTCATCAAAGAATGTCACCTGTTAGTCGGTTGCGAAAACCATTAGCAAGGAACACTTCGCAAGATGGGTGATGAAGTGAACTGAGATAGATTCTTACCGTCGCCTCGCTGGTCTCATCCTCTATGCTGTATCCCGACATTCGTTCGAAGCTCCGTCGCGGGATGGCGCCAATGCTATAGAGGAACTCGGCGTAAAGCCAGGCGATCCTTCTCTTTCCTTGTGGCCATGTCAGTACTTCAGACTCATAACGACAGTTCTAATTTGTCGAAAAGGCAGATGCAAGAACAGGAAATGATACTGACCAGTCCCATCATTTCCCTCTAAGATCAAATCTAGGTTTATGCTCTTCATATCTTCCTCCCAGCGTTTGGCAGTATCCACTCGATCCTTTACGGCGAGGAAATGCGCTTTGATCTGCTCGAGGCCAACCATCGACATCAGCTGGTCAAGATGCTCGTTCTTCTCATCTTTCTCTCGCTTTCGTCGCAACCATTCGAGCCGGCTGGGTGAGTTATCTAGCATTAATTCGAGATCTTCATCATCGAACAATGACTCTGACCAATCCTCATTTATGGCGACCTGGTCCTTGTTCGGTTCAGGATTGTCGCCAGAGTCGCTGCAGACTGATTCATCATCATCACCATCATCAAAAACGCCCCTCATTTTACCATACGGCATTAATTCCTCGTCCCATGTGCGGTGAGACGGCCTCATACGTCGAGGGCGACGTCTTGGAAGTTTCTTCGAAGCCACGCTAGGAGTTTTAGGAGAAGGATTCTCCTGAATATCTGTCCGCGTTGCTTCTGGTGCCTCTGGTGTTTCATCGATTTCCAATGATTGACCAGGACTCATCCCCAACTTCTCCTCTAGGAGTGTCTCTTGGTTGTGCTCCTCTAACCCTCCTGGAATTTCTGTAGCGTCTCCTGGTTCTGCATTCTCGGACACTGTAACCGTGATAGTTTTTGCTTCCTCAGACTCTGGCGGTGTCCTTGGACTATCGGCGACCGTTGTGTCTTCTGACAAAACATCCTCCTCAAGCCCGGGAGGCTCTGAGTTTGACGAGCGATTATCGGATTCCTTGGGAACCGGATAGACGTCCCAATTATCTTTGAAGACAGTTGTCTCTAACAAGTCATCGTTGTTGGAATCTTCAGCCATCTTGAATGATTCTCCAAGTCGAGAATAGCTGAAAAGAAGGGTCCTTGAATTGAATACACACACTGAGAGATTTGAAGAGGGATGGAGAACTTTTGGTGTGCTGACAACACATCTTGAGCCCCTCTAAATCCTGGTCGTTTGCGAACCGCGCGCCCCAAGGCATACCTGTTAAAAGCCTACTTTTGGGTCACTTTCGCCTACTCCGCGCACACCGTAAGGGGAGACCGCCAGCTTATTTAGACATGCATAATGGTGGAGTGAACGGGGCGGGGTTTCGCCCTATTTGCCGTTGTTGCTCACGTTAGGCGCTGATGCAGCGAGGGGGTATCGAGTTATCCATGCTTTTTTGAGGCGCAGGGAGTTTTCCCAACAGGGATATCCGTCTGTTTTGCTTTGCCATTCGCTGTGCGTCAAAGGGCCAGATGTTTGTCCAATTCCGGCTGCTGCTAATACCCATCAGCCCGGGAAAACCTGTCGAACTTTTCCTATGCTCCTTTGTTGTCTCAACTATATCTCTCTTTGCGTGCTGATTACATATTGCATCAAAACTAAACTAGAGATCTCTGGTTACTGGATTGAAGTCTGGGCCTTTGTCATAAGTAATAGCCATCCGCGCGAAAGGTTTGAAGCGATTAAGTTCTGCTCTGTATCATCAACTGTGATACGCAATAGGCCTAAAATACGTTGAATAATTACTACAAGCGTGTTAACATTATTTCTAGAGGTGTTTCCTTTATCTCACCATACGCTGAAGTTAATCAACAGCCCTCGTTCGGTGCCAATGTTTTAGCTGATTTTTCGTTGCTCCGAATACCTTTCATTCTAAGCATGGTGAGGGTTGTAGCAATAGCTAATTCTAATGTTCACCAGTTATGCCGAGCTTGTGATCCTCCTTTCGCCTATTGACCATTTTTCGTGTTTTTTTAATCTGATTCGCTGGCCTATGGAAATTTCCTACCTTTTCTCGAGGACATTCGCTCAGCCGCGCTTTTGGCACAGCTGAACAAATGCAGGGGATCTGCACCGCTGCGCCCCAAAGCCTCTGCAATGTTTTTACCCACACAAATGTGTTCACGGAAACTAATGTTGGGCTAGGCATTCCACCAGGCTCACAGTATTCGGGCATTCCATCTTTCAACAAAGAAACAGGTTGCCCAAATGAGAAACTTTCTCCATCTTACTGTCATCGGCCTCTGTATCGTCGCCCAGGGTTCTTTGCTCTGATCCAGGTCATCAGGGGCAAAGATAACCGCTGCCTTCAATGACGTACGTGTATACAGCGCTACGTGCTGAGCGTCGCGAGATACGACTGCTCAGCCTCGAACCGTCCAAAGCTGGCGACGAGCCGCTCCAGCTCTCCCTGTATACTGTCCCGCTCGACTGTCCCGGTAGCTATGAGGCCCTTTCCTATACATGGGGCGAGACGTTGCCGAAATTCGATATAAGGGTGAATGGCTTTGGCTTCCAGATTGGGGGAAATTTGCATTCTGCGCTTCGCCATCTTCGGTATCAAGACCAACGGCGGCGACTTTGGGTGGATGCCATCTGTATTAACCAGGATGACATCCAAGAACGCGAGGAGCAGGTGTCCATAATGCGCGGCATATATGGCACCGCAAGCTCTGTCGTTGCCTGGATCGGAGAAAGCGATGGTTCTAGCGACGAGAGGGCCTTTGACTTCATGGATAAGATTTTGGATCAGATACACTCCCGGGCGGTTTTGGACAAGTTTTTGGCCGCTGATACGGCTCCAACGAGTGCCGAGTTCAGCTTGGAGATTCACAAGGATAACATAGACTGGATCAGGTCCGTAACTTCGCTGGGCCTTGTGGGCAGCCCCTGGCTTGACATTCTTCATCTTCTCCAGCGCCCATGGTTCAGCAGGATCTGGATCATCCAGGAGGTGGTGATGGCGAGTGACGTAACACTACGGTGTGGCGATCGCACGCTGGACTGGCTCTCGTTTCGACCCTGTATTCGGTTTATCAAGCATCATCTCGTCACTATCTGGGACTGCGGCGCGCCAGAAGACATCTTGAAGCTTGATGTAGAAGCGTATCGGCACTACCAGAAGTCGGGGGGTGTTATCAGTCTGGACAGGGCGATTAAGGGCATTACCAATGTCGATCAGTTAAGAAAACAGAGGCGGTTGATCGATCTCACGACGACTGTTACACAAGAACGCTCGCAAGGACCCTCCCTAGCGGCCCCGGTCCCCTTGCCACCGTTTATCAAGCAACTCCTCGGGATGGAGATTCCAGAGCAAAGCATGCCATCAGCAATGACCCATGAGGAGCGGGTTTATGCCGCACAGCCGCCGAGAGATTTCGAGGTCGGGAGACTGATGAAGGATTGTTCACTTTACCACCTGTTCCGGAAGTTCAGGTCTTGCGATGCAACAGATCCTAGGGACAAAGTCTATGCGCTGCTTGGGATTGCGGAAAGGATCCATGGTTCTCACAATAAACTGCCCGTCTCCTACGAAAAGCCAGCTGAAGCCGTACTCTGGAACTTGATTGCCAATCATCTTACCTCCACCAGGGCGCTAAACTTCCTGAGTGATGCTTCCGGGTTGTCTGGATCTGAAGGGTTCCCGTCATGGATGCCATTGTGGCATGAACCAGACTTGAACCTTCATCCACTATCTTTTCTATCCGATGCGCTTGCCTCGGGTTACAGAGCTGGTGGCGATACAAAAGCACAATTCCAATTTGAAGAAGAAGCAAAGCTACTCAAGTGCCAGGGTATCATTGCTTCAACTATCGAGGCCGTTGGAGAAGTCTATGACAACGCCCATGACGATCTCGACGACCGTGAACATTTGTATGAAAGGTCCGTCCATACTAAATGGGCAAGACTATTAGGTGTTGATGATGTATTCAACGAGGGTAACATACTATGGGATGCCGCACAACGAGGAGTAATCTCCCAACCAGAATACCGGGCTCGATTCCTGGAGCTTTTGTTGCGAGATCGAAATAAAATGCGCCGGTTCCTCCAGTTTACCATCACTCTTTTGGCTTGTGGGAGTACATATGGTGACTTGTTAAACGCCACCACCGTACTCGATGGGAATACAACCTTCTTACCTTCTTTTGCGCCGCACATGGTGTGGCCGCAGTCTACGAATGACAAGAAGTATGCGAGCCGAGTCCGCAACGCGTGCCATCAGCGGACCATCTTTACTTGCAAAGGAGAGGCCACGTTCGGCCTGGGTCCAGGAAACGCAGAGCCTGGCGATGTTGTTGCCGTGTTCCTGGGGGCTGATTTGCCGTATGTCCTCCGCCCGGTTAGCGAGCATGCCGGGCTCGCCACGTTCAAACTAGTTGGGGAGGCATATTGCATTAGTTGTATGAATGGTCAAGCCATCAATGTACCGAGGGCGGGCGTAGACCATGGTGAATTTGGAATCCAGACGATCCAGCTTGTATAGACTTCTCGTGTTACAGGCCAGCTTGGTTGGTCAAATAGGAGAATCAAGGTTCGAGTATTGCAGGTGATATGGACAGATGGCGAGATGTTGATGCACCGCTGCATGAACAATCGAGGATGGCGCCAGTTGGGTTGAGCCTGGTGAACGAGTCGGTGGTCTTTGCATGGTGCAATTCGAGGCCGATAAGGTTACGCCTCCTGTTGGATTCAAACAAATACGGCTAATAATGAGTGCTTAATTAGGTCAATAATGTGTGTGTATTCAATGTTTTTTGTGCGTGTGTTGTGTTGTTGTCACCCAATAACCTCTCTTCTCGGCTGACCAATAACCTACCCAAACCTCTCTTTTTATGAGTATTTGGCTGACGCGAAAACTGGTATACACCTATATCTATAATTAAGAGCTATCGCTCTGTACACACGGCACATCATGTGCTGAGACGGAGATGAACACGAGCCATCTTCTACTCTCATAAAACTGCCTGCCAATTTGCAGCTGCAAAACCCATCATCAGACACACGCTAGACCCGCTCCTAGCTGGACGATGCTGAGGGCGTCACTGCCGCTTTCTCTTCGTCATCGGACTTCTGTACCGACTCCAGCCAGTCCTCGATCCTGTTGCTATCCGGGGCAACGAAGGCTGGTTGGTTATCGTCATCATCGTCGTCGTCGTCGTCGTCGTCGTAATAGTCGTTGTCTTCATAGTCGTTGTCGTTGTCGTCATAGTCTTCGTCGTCGTCGTCGTCGTCGTCGCCAACCAGGAGCTTGGGATGGTTGGCCGCTCCTGACATTGATCCCACACAAAAAGCAGCCCATTGGAGCTGGATCATGGCCTTGAACTTTTGAATATCCTCGGTCCTCCGAACTACTGGGAAGACGTATCCTGACTCGATCGTATAGCGCTCTCGCACTTCGTGTGCCTGGACTTTGCTAATAGCCGTACAGCGGCCGCATTGAGGCGAGCAGGGGGGTTCCCCGCCGAACATATGTTCAACGCAGACTCGTATGTTTCTTGCCTTATCCTTTTCCTCATTCAAGTCGATTCGCTTCGTCGATTCGTCGTAATGGCTGTGTGGCATCCATACGAACTGGAGCTCTGCCATGCTCATACCCGTTTCTTTGTCATCCTCATGTCCGAGATACTTGAGGCCGAAGTAGCCGTGACTCCACCACGTTTGGAGTTGAGGTGACAAGCAGATCATATTCCAAGTTTTGTCTGTAGCTCCCAGACCAGAAGAAAGAAAGACCAAAGCCAGCGTGGCATATTGATATGGCGTAAATCCCCAGCTAGGGTTCTTGCGGAAGGCCCTTTGACCCTTCTCTATCTTCTGAATGTACTCAAGTCGTGTTTCCATTTCGTCGGCTGGGAGGAGCTGCGTGACTTGGCGAATGCCAGGCCCGGCCATGAGGTCTTTCATCGTGGAATTTTCCATGGTGAAGTCAAGTGCGCGTGCGTGAGGCAGGATTTCGTTCGTTTGTATTCGGTTGTGTGCCCTCACTGTGTTCTCTGTCATTGCGTTTTCAAAGCTTAAAAAGCATTTCCCTTAGAGCTATCCTCTCTGATCCCCTCCACCTCCCTTCCTCTCTTCTTGTACCACCGGCTGCCCTACTGGAGTTTGGTGTGTTGAAGTGTTTGGATTGGTGTGATAGAAGACGAGTGTGAAGCCAGGTGAAGGAGGGTATGCTTTATAGTCATTCGGCGAGCGGCTCGTCCTAACCGTAACTAAGTCATCGGTATGAAGGTTTGCAGACTTTTCTTTCCGCATGACTGCAGCCTTAGGCTAGCAAAGGCTTTTTTCTTTTAAACTTTAGTATTCATTGTGTTGAGATGGCGGGTCTGGCATCTTCCATTGTTGTTTAACTTTATACTCTAACTCTCTTCCATGTCGTTGTGTTTGCATGAAAGTTCGTATCGTGTCTCTGCGTAGAAACGTACGAAGGAGGAAGCCAGAAAACTCACATGGAATTAATTGTGTTCCCATAGAATGGGCGTGTTTTGGCAGCTCACACGCGTCGCGTTGTGGCAGCTGCTCGCACCCGCGTCTGCTCAGCAGGCTCTCAGATCGAGCTCACCTTCAGGTTCAGGAGTGCAAGTTTACTTACCTAGCTACTAACCTGGTGCAAGTTTTTCAGTCACAACCCAACTTCTTCTCTCTGCTTACCTTCAAGTTCCTACCAAAGTAACCACAAATTCTTCAAGTTTCGCCCACAGACATCACCATCGCCACTCAACCAATATGTACGTACACTGCCACAATCACCATAGGGGGTCATTTCTCATCGAATCTGCTCGAAACTCTGCAACTAACAATTTACTGCGTAGAATGGCAAACCCAATCCAGCAGAACGCGGCGGCGGCGATGGAGCTCGAGCTCGCGCGCCTTCGTAAAGGCAGAAGGGTGATCTGTGTTCGAAACATCGACTGGAACTGTAACGAACGCGAATTCGAGGAAGCCTGTCGACAGAGACTCACCTTGGCCGGAGATGTCAAGTTCTTGTGGCCCGCACCAGATCGTCGGGGAAGAAAGAATATAGGCAGGGTTTTTCTCGGCTTTGATACTCGCCCTGATTGCAAAGCTGCGCTTGATCAACTCCGTCAGGGTTTTAATTTCAATGGATTGAGAGTCACAGTCCAAAGATCGGGCAAGGGGGGCAATGTACAGGTAAATGTCACCGCTTTCTCTGAGACAATCGCTAACGGGAGCTTCAGAACCACGTCGCAACCGTCCCGGCAGGCTCAACCGCTGCGTCTGCGTCTGCCTCAACTTCAGCTCCAGCTCCAGCTCCGTCTGAGAACCAACCTGAAGTTCAAATGGTGGCCCCGACTGAGCGCCTCTCTGCTGAAGGCCAGCTCATTTCTTGCATAAATGCGATAGCGGCAGCTCCAGTGTACCTTATGGCTCGAGTTCGCGGACGTGCTCCCATCTCGGAAGCTCTGGCAACTTTGGCCGCTGTAAACCCCGAGGCTGCGAGAAGTCTACTCGATGCTCTTCACTCCCATCCTGTTGCCACTGTACCTGATCCTAGCTTTCGCATCTTCCCGGTCTTAGGTGCCAGTCCTATTAGAGAGCCAACGGCCAGCGCCACTTCTTATAACGACACTATCCAGCCGGAAACCGTCGCGGTCCAGTCTGAAGATGTCACCATGCAATCAGACAAAGAGGACACAGAGTCAGAACTAAAGTTTCCTGGTGCAGATGATCCGCTATCGGACATCGACTACTAAGTTGAAGGCCCTGGTGTAAAGAAGGAAGAGGATGGTGGGGGGTAGGGAGAGGTGTTTAGAGGAGCGAAACCTGTTTCTGTTCATGTTGGCGGAAGCCTTCATTACCTACTGTAGTCGTGATGGCTGCATGCACCGGCGAAAGCCTTCCTTACATAGCCATGCTGGCTGTATGCACTGGCGAAAGCCTCAGTGCCGGGTACTGCCCGTGGATCTCGGTCCAAAAGTCGCTTTTGGCAGCCCTAAGGGGAGCGAGTTCGATTCTCGCGGCGACGGACACCGATCATTCCACCCGCTTGTATGGATTAGAAGAGTTGGTAGTGTCAATGTGGCATCGCACAATTAGGGAACATCGACCGCATCACAGGTAAGTTGAAGGTTACTCCCTGGCATACTCCGGCTCATTCGGAGACAGGGGCTCAATATCCTGGGATAAGAGATTTATAATGAGATATGTCGATAACCAGTATGCACTCATCATCTAGGATCCCTCCATAGATTTCACCATGGCTATCACTTCCACGTGAAGGCAGACCAAGTGACCGATTCAATCATTAATGACATTACTACACCGTTATCTGAAAACTATTATCGATTAATTGCTCAAGGGAATCGTGCTATATATGTCCTCGTCGCTCATTAAGCGCTGCCAGCTGGCTTCTGGCTTGGAGCAGCGAGACTGCTGGACAGATACGCCCCTTTCCACGGCCCAAGTGCCTGCGCGACAATCACCCACGTGGGCAGCCAGGGTGCGATATACTTGCCAACAAGGCGGAACAACCACCCGGACCAAGCAGAGATGCGCATGATCTTCTGGCTCTCCGCGATGAACCGGCGCACTCTTGGCTCGCGCTCCTCGGCAACACCGTCCAGGATCTTCTCCACCTCGGAGTTGGACAGTTTCACGTTGTAGTTGGGAGCTTCGTCGTCGGATTCCGACTCTGCGGAGGCTTGCTTGTGCTGCTGTTTCTTCTTGTTCTCCAGCTCGGCCTTGAGACGATCGACCAGCATCAAAACGGACTCGGCACCCTGTGCACCTCCCTGAGCGAGAATCGGGTTTGCCCTCGCAACGGAATCACCAAGGCAAATAAGTCTCCCGGCCGTCCATCTCCGAAGGGTGTGCATGGGGCAAGCGTGAGTCGTGATGCGGTACGCGTTGTTGTAAACGTCGCCAAAGGTAGTCCCGTCGCTGAGCTTGACGTCGAAGTACTTGCCGCAGACCTCGGCGCCTTGCTCTTTCGTCCACGTCGGGATCTCGGCCGCGCTCTTGCGGCCAGGCGAGTTTTCGTCTGTGACCTTGAAGAACAGGAACCAGAGGGCTTCGCCGTTCTGGCCGCCAAAGAGGCCGATGGTCATGTCCTGGGAGGAGATCTGGTAAGCGTGGTCGGTTCGGAGATCGCCAGTGTTGTGAGACAGTCCGAACACGGCGTCAAACTCAGTTATTATGTCTATGAGAAGCATCAGATAACTGCAGCCACTATGTGGGGAGACCCAAAGGGGCTCCTAGGCTGGCATTCCTTCTCACCTTCACGCTGATCACCGATGAAAGCCTTGGGGTCTGTCTTTTGAGCCAAGCGCCACATCTCGGATCGAACGATGCTGTGCGTGCCATCAGCGCCGATGACCACGTCGGCATCACGAGTCTGGCCTCCCTCAAAATGCAACCTCACCCCCTCCTCGTCCCCAGGAAGCTCTTCGATGCTCGTAACTCGTTGCGAGCCATGCACCTTGGCCTTGCCCTCAGCGCTCAGGTTCTCGAAGAGGATACGCAGCAGCTGTGATCGCTTGAACGTCGCGATACCGTAGCCCGTCTCGGCGTGGATAGCATCGGCAACGTGGTGCGTGAACATCGGCCGGCCATTGGCGTCACGGCACGTCAGGGTACGCAGCTCCTCCGACTCGGCCAGGACATGATCCAGCACACCCAGCTGGTCCAGCACACGCTGAAAGTTGGGGTAAAGGGCAATGCTGGCGCCGACGTCGGGGTTGACGTCAGGGTAGGCTTCAACGAGGACAAAGTCGATGCCGACACGGTCGAGGGTCAGAGCGGCGACGAGGCCGGTCATCCCCCCGCCCACAATGGCAACTTTGAAAGGGGCAGACATGGTTCCGAAACGTGGATGAGTGCGACACAAGGTTCTGTGACAGTTGGGCAGCAAAGGATTAAAAAAAGCAAAGAAGCGCAAAGATGTAAGCTTTGGAATGGGATTAGCGTATCCCGCGAGAGAGGGATCGACACCTCAAATAGAGTGAAGATATGACCTCGGGAACTCGGGCATTACGCCTTTGCGATAGGAAGGGCAAACAAATCACCTGATGCCCAATCCAGCAAGCACCCCGTCTGTTCCACTGCGCTGGGTGGCCTGCATGCGTCAGGGACGAAGCCAACCACATGGCAGATGAATCATGCTTGTATGGCGCTATTGTTTTCCATCCCCGAAACTTGGTGCGCTGGAACCTATCGCTATCTCCCCGGCGAGCATCTAGCCAGAAAAATGTTAGTTCTTTTATATGCCTGCAAAGTGTGTTAAGTGCTTCAGGGTTCAGGGATTAAAGAGGGGAGACAATTTCACCATCGGCGAACCGAGTTTCTGGACTAGCTCATCGATATCTCTGAGAACTTGACCGGCGAGGTCCCTTCCAAGATAAAAACAAATCTCGACCATTTACATTGCTAAGAGGAGCAGGGCCTCTTCCCAAAACCCCATTCATCAATCCATATTTGGGAGACAATTGTGGTGTCCAAGTAAACAGAGTGATGTGGGTTTTCCCGGTATTTCGGACTGAAGATGGGCACAATTCACCGACATCCCTGAAGCCCTCCTATCACGTAATCGGAGACATCTCTATTCCCTACAAGCGCTGTTTCGTGATCTCGACTATCCCCCCTCTGGTTCTTGGATTCTGCAGGCCTAACCTCTAGCCTGGGACAATTTCTCTCCCCGGTTCAACCCCCCGTCATAAGCTCCTAGAAAAGGCCAAGATTGACCATGGAAACCTTTTCCCACCCTGTCTTTGCCCGCAAGCGTTGCTTACTGAACCCAAGTGGCGGGTCGAGATGTGAAAATTTGCCGCAAATATCTCGGCACTCAGTGCGAACCATTGGACAATCCCCTGCTAGTGGCCTTGACACGTATGACTAGGACAAGCATTCAACGGTCAGTAGACCGGAAATAGCTAGAATCTTTGGCTCCCACTCTCCGTCCCCCCAAGTCCCCAAACGGCGGCCGAACTAGACGTAACGGAAGTACGGTAGGAACCGCACTCATATTCAAGATCCACCCCTCCCTCCCTCGACCTTGAATACGGTTGCGGGTTTTCTTCTATTTTGTTTCTTTCCTCGCAATGCTTTTTGCCTGCAGTCCCTTCATTTGTGTTACGTGGTGAAAGCGCTCTTGTCACATGCGGCGACAATGGAGCAGTTATTTCCACCAGACAAATCGCCCTACCATTGGGTGCCCATGCCATTGAAACCAGAGAGTGCGGGCTTCCTTGCGACAAACAGTGTTTTTCAAGCCATTGCCTTTGCTATTGTCGGTTTGCGGTTCTACTCGCGCATCTCTACAAAATCTGTTGGATGGGATGACTGGTGGGTGTTGATAGCCACGGTAAGTGCAGAAAATGGCTTCACAGTTGTCGATTCAATTGCTCGCTTCGGGGAACTTCTAACTGACGATTGATTCTTCTTGGTGGCTAGTTCCTAAGTATCTGCACTTTCATTACTTCAATATGTGGTAAGTCTTGATATTGTTTTCGTCTGACGAAACAGCCCAGATCCCTTCGCAATCTACTCGACAGCTAACATCGCGCCCACGTAGCCAACATCTTGGGATCCGGCTACCTCGTTGAAGAAGTAGTCATCAACTTGTCAAGCTTCTACCTGGTAAGCCACCATCCACAAGAGGCCAAGTGAACTGCGTTCCTGTCCGGTTCTAACCACCTTCAGCTCATTTTTATTCTCCAACCGCTCTTTCTATTCGCCATCATGTCCACAAAACTAAGTGTTTGCTTCTTCTACCTCCGTGTATTCGTCAACAAGAGCATGAGGATTGCCACCTTTGTCACCATGGGCCTCGTCGTGGCGTGGGCCGTGGCGCATTATCTTGCGGCCGTCTTTATCTGCACGCCTGTCGCGGGACAATACGACCTGCGCCTCGCCGCCGTGGTCAAGTGCGGTGACCAGATGAAGTTCTTCCAGTCTGGTTTGAGCATCAATGTCGTCCTGGACGCGATTGTGATCGCCCTGCCCCTTTGTAAGTTTATCTCGGCGCTGACTAGCTAGTCAGCGATGCTAACTTTCAAAACCCCAGGGACTATCTGGAAGCTCAAGATGCGCAAGTCGGACAAGGTCGGTCTATTCGTCGCCTTCTCTATTAGTATCGCCATGCTCGTCGTCAGCATTATCCGCGCCGAGTACGTCACGACAACATCCCTAAAGGGCGACCTCACTGCCACGCTGCCGATCAACCTCTTCCTCACTGTCTTCGAACAGCAGCTCGCCATCATAACTATCAGCATACCCATGCTGCGGCCCCTGTGGAGGAGGTACCGTGCTCGCGTTGGTGGTTACAGTCTCTCAGAGGAGGCCGCGAAAAACAGCGGTTACTCGGGGGGCAGAGGCGGCAGCAAGAGCAACGATATCGTCACATTCGGTGGGTCTGGGGCCAAAGCGTCTGCCGGATCGAAAGGACGACGTGGCAAGAACGACAGCGTGCTTGACGCTGCTGTCGAGCTTCGGGATGTGGAACACAAGGCCAACGTCAACGGACGAAGCGATGGGGAGAGCTGGGTCGCGGACGACTCCGGGTCAGAGACCAGACTCGGCGAGTGGAACAGGAGCCCGGGTGCTATCAACGTGCAGACTGAGTGGACGGTGTCACGGAAGTAGGATTGAGCGTGTCATAATAGTTGGACTTGTACATCTGATTTAGCGAGTGTTCTATACTTTGGGCGAGAGCAATTACTCGATTGGTAAAGGGAAAACACCCCATTGAAGCCTGGACGCCTCATTGGGCGATCCGAAGACTGTCATTTAGCTTCATTTTTAGAATTCAAACGGGTCTCGTATGTCTTTGAGGATCTTAACCACTACTCTGCCGACTCACTCATTGTGTAGTTAAACCCGGCCTTTCAATGCCATAAATTGATATTCTCTAGGTCTCTTCTAGGACAAGGTTTTTGCCCTCTTCCTGGGTGCTAATAAATTAATGTGCTGGCTCTTAGTAACTCAACTGATCATTGCCCAAGCAGAGTCGTTGAGGCCGTGCGTAGCCAAGGATTACAGGGGAGAACATGGGCATTGCTCGTACCCCATCGCGCCAATCATATGGGTCAGACCAAAGAATAGATCATATTTAATCTCAATACTATGCACATGTTGATCGATTTCAAAACCAGGCATAACAACGCAACTATATCCCCAGTCTATCACTTGATAATTTGTCTTGGTGCAGGACATTCGCCCTCTATCCACTGGTAGAAACCGACCTGTCACAGTATAACACCGTTCAACCCCTGTACTGAATCAGGGCGACTCACTCGTGGGCCTTATAAAAATAGATGTATACGCCATTATCGTATGCCTTTCTTGCACATTATTGGCAAATATAGCTGTTGTGGTTTTTATTACTTTAACGGTTTCAACTCTCCAGCAACGCCATCTATTAAATCCGGTTTTAGGTTGCCAAAGGCTATATGGACCAAAAATATGGCCAATTCCTGGAGTTGTTGTGGACTGGATATCGAGGAACCAAGTTGTTGGGTACATGAACCACATACGATCAGCACCTCTCATCTACGACCATACCTGTGAGGCAGCACTGGATCCCGTCTGCTCTCCGCACGTTAAGCTCACAAGGGGCCGATTAGTAGTTGGGTCGGTGACGACCAGCGAATACCGGCTGTTGTAGATTTCTTTTTACTCCTCTCGTCTCCTCGGTCTGCTCTGCAGTGAAGAAGAACTATAATATTCCTGTAATATCCCGCGCTTCAAGTAGATCTAGGTAAAGATCTTGCCAAATCAACATCAGCTCAACTCAATAGGAAATCCATGATATGATCTTACTGCCTGCCTTCCATCGACGACTCGTAGCTTCAAGACCAAGTTTAAGGATTTTAAATGATTCGTAAGCGTCTTCGTCGCCTTCTGAGGCAAAGCGTTGAGCAAAAATAATGCCTGAACGATACATTGCTTCGAGGCAAAACGGGGAGATTTGCTCAGCTCCGCAATTCCCACATGAAGCAAGGGCTTGGGCGAGTCTTAGCATGCTGGCAAGTATTTCGTCCACAATGTGACGTGGGGGTGAGCCACCAGTTATCCTTTGGAGCGAGCCAGACCTTTGCCGTCGTTCTTCGTCGTGTAATAGAAGACGTGCGCTAGGATGAGGACGTCAGTACTCGTTCACTCCGGTGTATAAGGTCCCATACCTAAAACAGATTGTAGTCGGACTACACACGCCAATTCCTCTAAAACGACCCTCTTCAAGCGACACTTGTGTCAGCGCGGCAATTGTATTGTCCAATGCTGTTGCTTCTTGATGCCGAAACTGATCCGTGTTCAAAGTATCATTGACATGTTGGAACACCTTTCTCAGTAGAATTGCTGCCTGGGCAGTCAAGCAAAAACGACCCATCGTGGCTGTCAAGGGGGAATAAAGGCGGTAGAGTTGGGCACCCGACAGTTCCTGTTTCCCTTAGCCATAATCCACGAGAAATGGTGCCTTGACCAGCGAGGATGAGAGGTATGAAGCGTACACCTTGGTCCCAAATACTATCGTCGATGGGGAGAATGCTATCACTGGTGGGTTGGAGATTTACCCCAAGGGCAGCAGGACATCCAAGGTGAACAAAGCTACGTGCTTTTAGTAGTAATCTCAACTCATTTCCAGGTTGGGTTTATGACCTTGGAAGCTGCGTGATAACCTTAAGAGTGATGGGGCACAACTTACTGATCCAACAACAGAATAGCCCACCAGCTCCTCCGCCTCTCCTCACGATCTAACTCATCATGGACAGAGCTCTGAAATGAGTTTTCGACGGATAGGTGAATACATAACGCGCGAGCGTAGCGAACACAGGTTCCGATTGTAAGATAGGCTGCTGGGTAAATTCCGTGTCCCAACTCATACAAGGATACCATGATCCAAGCTTGCAATGTTCTGAAATCTAAATTTCCCGCCATCTCCAAACGGAGCAAAGCGAGCTTGACTGAGTTATAGAGAGGCGATATTGTGTTGTCTTCAACAATATTTTCTGCAACTAATTTCATGGAAGAAATGAGTAACATGTTCCCGATCTGTTTGGTCCCGAGCGGATTTAACACTCTTTCTAGAAACCGCTTTTTTGAGAGAAATGGCAGCCACGGGTGTACAAACTCGAAATATAGAGCCACAAATTCCCGGTTAGTAGAGATGTCACCAACAAGACTGGATAAAGTCGCCCCTAGATCGGAACCTGCATCTTGCATTTTTGTGCCTGAGCGCTGGAACAGGACCGAGTCCAGGAAATATACGGAGGGAAACTCATTGCGAAATTGAGTTGAGAATTCAATCCTAGAATCCGAGATCGGTGCGCTGTCGGAAGGCACTGTATCTGAATAGGTGCTTCTTTCATCGTACAAGCACGTCCGATTCTGTCTATTTTGAATCTATTCAGCACGCTCACGAAGCAAAGAGATGAGGTGGATGTTGCATACCTAGTGCATAGTGAGCACTGCGGCCTTTTCCTGTCGCATTTCTTCTTCAAGCGCTGGCATTGAAGGCATGATGGTCTGAAGCGCGCTACAGGTCTGTCGCTCTCACTTTCTGTGCCTGTGTTCATGATGAGATTCAATGTTGTTAGGTGTTCACGTAGGAACGCAATTCGCGCTTTCGCTGTTTACCATTTCCTTCGATGCTGATTAATGCCCAGATAAGCACTTTTCCCGATGTAGAAATTGCTTCTTCTTTTCAATTGTTAGATAGATAATGATGCTACTTTGCCTCATGAGGTAAGCCATCTTGCGCGGAGGAATTATGTAACTACTCCGTACCTTCAAGTAGTATCCCATCGTCTCCCTACCCTAAACCAAATGGGAGTGACGCGGGTCTTCTAGTATTAAGAAATATAATGGTAGAGGAACTGACGCCTGTGTCTTCCATTAAGACTAGACTTGGCTGTTTGATGTGAGGTTGGGGTTGCTAAGGATTTGATCTATTTACTTATCTCCAAGTAGGAAAAGTCACTATCTAGGTTATTAATGACAAAATTGTAGGAATATTGCGATCATAGGAGGGCTTATCATGACTGATGAGAGCTGTTGCGTTGAGAACTACCTCTTCTGCTGGGTTCTTAACAAATCACGCCAGTCAGTCACTAAATCTTCTCGTGGTTGGTGACATTTACGCATACAAAATGCTATTACATAGCTTGGGTCATATGGTGATTTTATTCTATTCATGGAGCCTATTTATTGCTGCTAACGGTACAGAGCAAACAACTAACTAGCACATCCATCCTCGCCAACTGATTTATTGGTTTCCTGTTGAAGGCCCCCTGTTCTGCCGAATGAGAGTAAGTAATATCACGGGGAGGTGAAAGCGAACCGCGAGTTTTGACAACATGTCACACTGCTTTAACGACCTAGTTGATATTTCCAAACGATCCAGGGATTGGAGCTTTACCAGCTGAGAAGCGGACACTTGGGATCACCCCATTGAGAAATTCCCCGACAAGCTTTGCATAATAACCGGCATACTGGAAGAGATGCCCGTGCCCGCTGCTGGGAAACATGACAAAATGGGCACGGGGAAGCTGCCTAGCCAGAACGAATGAGTTTTGCGTCGGCACGATGAGATCGTTGTCACCGTTGGTAACGAGGGCGTCTTTCTGGATGGTTTGCAGAAGAGCATAGGGGACCGGATCGGCATCCCAGGTCAGGTAGGCCTGAGTAAGCTTGATAAGATCTTCGCCGGTGGTGAATTGAGCGATCTCAGGTTCCCCGTCCTTGCCTGCAACACCGCTTCGTGAACCTGTGCTTCGCTTGAACCATTCCGCACCTTCCTCGCCAGTGGTGAATGAAGGGAAGAATGCCTCAATGGTAGGTACTCCAGGGGTAGGATTGAAGACGGTTGATTGGACCTCATTCATGGGGCGGACCAAGCCAGGGCCAAGACTGGGGCCTGTACCAGCGAGAACCAGCTTTCGAACGAGATCCGGAGCGTCAAGGGTGAGCTGCTGAGCGATATAACCACCCATGGAAAAGCCAAGCACATCAACTTGCTTGATAGACAGGGTTGGAAACAACACGTTGAGGAAAGCCAAGAGATTGAGCGCAAAGACCTTGATGCTCGGAGCAATGGCACCTTGACTGTGGCCAAGGCCAGCGTAGTCGTACGTAATGAGCTGGCGGCCCGTTCTGGTCAAGTTATTGACAAGCTCAGGGTCCCACGTATCGATGGTTGATCGAACGTGGTTGAGCATCAGAAGGGGTGGTTGGGAATTGCTCGAGTTGCCAATGAGACGGTAGGCATACTTCGTCCCTTCGGCGACCAAGTAGAGGGTCTTTGCTGTCTCCTGAGTGGACATGTTGAAAGCTTGATATAGTTCAATGGTGATAAATGCTTGTTCGTGAAGAATAGATGGTGAGCTACGCAAGAGGAGGGCAAGAAAGCAAGGAAGCGGCGAGCTTTATATACACATTTTGCTAGGCCTCAACGCAGCCTTGGTCTTGGTTTTTGGAATCAGTACTTTTGCATCCTCCATCGCTGTTTGCTGACTTGAACCTCAAGCGTGGGATTATCTCTTAGGCCCAACTCTGATTCGTTTCACTAGGGGATCTGACCTGACATAATAGTTTTAAATCTAGAACTAACGGTTCAAATTCCGAGATTGCCCTTCTTGGCCGTTGTGTGGCATCCCAGTGTCCAATAGAGAAGGGCGGTGTCATCTATGAGCCTCACACCAAATAAGTGAGCGATGACTCTTTCCGTACTCTAGATCTGGCCTTGGCATTTATGTGATCGGTCTCATCCGCCAGGTCCGCTTAACCCGCCTACTCCGACCAGTCCGCTTAATCCGACCAGGCCGCCCCATATGTCCTGACCTGGCTCTGAGATCCGTCAGCCCAGTCAGCCCTGACCTTTAATTAGATTACGAATATGCTCTCCGCGATTTTGAGCCGGTCAATCTTTTTCGTACTTCCGTATGACATACGGAAGGCCATAGACGTGTGTGATTTGTAATTGGCGTGCCTATCTACTGGTTCCAACTATTAATGAGTGAATTACACAGAACCGAAATTCCAATCTCATGCATTTCACGTAGATATTGATTAGAGGAACTGTACTCTAGAAAACCATGGTGGGGTAGTTGTGCTGACCGTACTATCTTCACAATGTAGGAGGTCTTTGCAGAACGAGAGCACTTAAATCTATTGGTACATCTACGGCATGACGGGAAATATAGTATGCAAAGTGCATAGACTGAATATCTTCAAGTGTTCGACCACATTAAGCTTTCGGGGAAAATGGTTATCTGGCCATGAGTGTTCGGCTGGACTAATAGCCTCATCGCAACAAAACGTTTGCGCATAGGTTTCCGCCTTATGCTATTTAAACTCTCGCCGCAAAGTTAATTCCAACCTAAATTTGACACACATTGAAATAGAAACTACCTAGTTCAAAGTGGCTATAAAAACCTTCAGGCATTACAATGATATATTAAATGCTGGACACTGCTATTCTCAACAACTCTCATACCTAGAGATAACAAATTAGCCAAGACACAATGTTTCTTCAGCTCCCGAAGACAAATTGACCACCTTTCCACTTCTAAGACTATTCAGATTTATAAATATATTAAATATATTAAATAGGAGAGCAATAACACCGTAAATGGCGAGACTCTAGTCGTTGTTCTAGTCATTAACATCAAAATATCTAGTAAAGGTAACAAAAGGTATTTCTCCTACATTCTAAAGCTCTGAATAAGTAATATTAAAATAATTTCAACGGTATAAGTCCCATCTTAAACTTGCCGGCTTTCTAAAGAAGCAGGATAGACAGTTGAAGGATCGAGGTGAGCCCTCGGAGAAACTGAAATATTAAGATCGGATAATTCCGAAGAGACTAACGAAGACAACTAATTAGCGATAAGTGTTAACTCCTCAAGAGCAAGGATTATTATCCACTCGCTCAGCCATATCTAAGCAACGCTTGAAATATCTAGTATGTATTTTAGAAGAGCCTGTTATTAGATGGAGAATAAGCTGCTGGATCCTCCCTCTTCGAGAAGTAAGTCACCAGGGGGTATGTGTGGGTTTTTGTCGAAAGGGGAATAACAAGGCGACCAACTATTCTCTTATTGGGCCAACCCATTTGTAGTACGTCTGCCTGCTTCTTACCCCGCCGCGACCCTTGCAAACAGCTGACACTGGTGAGACGGTCTCGTTGGAAGTATGCTTCTGGAGGTGTCACTACATAAGGAGACTTGATGTCCTCATCTATCGGGAAAAAACACCTCTCACTCTCCGACACTAAAGTTTCCTCTCTGATCTAAGCCGAAGAAGATCATACTACTTGTTCTATATGTGGCCTTGAAAACAAAAATGGCTAAACATGATCGACCAACCGGTCCGGGTGATCTCAACACTGCCGATCTCGAAATCCTGAACGCGTTCAATAGCGAGGTCAATTACGCCATCCAAAAAGATCGCAACAAATCATGCGCGCCCGGAACGGGTGATTGGTTCTTTCGTCACCATCTGTATGAGGAAATGCAGAACGCGCGCGGCTCACGATTGTTGTTTGTGATGGCGGAGGCCGGCGGAGGGAAGTCGACCGTCATGAAAACTCTTGTCGACCGCCTTCTTGAGCGCAGTGAGCCTGTGCTTGCCGCCTATTTCTTCTTCAAGGATGATGTAGATGATCTGCGTAGCTATGAGAAGGCTCTCAGTAGCTTGATATATCAACTTCTTGTCCGAGAAAAGAAACTTGCGAAGCACGCTAAAGAGATACACCAGAGATATGGAGATGGTTTGAAAAATGACACCAAAGCCATGTTGGAGTTATTGTCGATCTTATCCCAAAAAGCGGAGAGGGACGTTTATTGCGTCCTTGACGGAGTGGATGAATGCGAAGCCATCGACAGAAATCAATTGTTGGCCGATTTGAAATCCCTCTTCTCTGATGTTGATGATTCGGCGTCGAGGCTCAAGATTGTTGTCTCCTCGCGGCCATACCAAGACGAGAACCACCCATATGCCGATCTACTAGCAACACCCTCTCGCATGATCGGGCACCTTGCTGGAGAGAACGCCAAGGTTCAATCGGAGATCTTCAAAGTCATCCAGTTCAAGGTGGAAAAGCTAGCTGAGGAGCGAGAGCTGGATCAAGCGACTCAGACCATGATGGTGGAAAAGATTTTTGCACAGAACCGACACACGAGATCATTCTTGGCGGTACAGATGGCCTTTGAACTTCTGGATTCCCATCAGAGAATGCACAAGGGAGCCGGAGAACGTACCATCAACACAATTCTATCCGAAATTCCTCAATCACTGGGAAGCAAATTCGATGCGCTGCTTGACAGAAGTACTAACAAAGAACATACGTGGAGGTTACTCTGCGTCATTCTTGCCGCTCGAAAGACCCTCAAAATTGATGAATTCAAGGTGATATATGCTATCACTGAACCGAGGGACTCCTCTGTCAGTAAAGTACAATCCTATGATGATTTGGAACTGCCCTCCGATGACGACGAATTCAAGCGGCTCGTGCGATCAAGATGTGGACTATTCATAACGTTCGTCAAGAATTCCGTCCATTTGTTTCACCAGACTGCCCGAGAGTACTTGATCGAACGCATTGATCAATCGCCAGAATATACATCACCTCTGTTTTTGCAAACGACATCTGGGCTTGCCCCGAGTGATAGGTCTCTGTGGAAAGGTTCCATCTCACTCTCGGATTCAAATAGAGTCTGTGCCTCGGTGTGCTTGAGTATTCTCAGCTTTGCGGTGCCGAAGAAATTGCCCTTTGAAGTGTAAGTCAAACTTCGTCCTCCGTTTTACTCCCATAGGACTAACCACCTGCGCTTCCATTGACAAAGATTCGATAACATGGAAGCAGGGAATAAAATTGAAGAGGATTTCGCGGATAACGACACGGAAGGTCTTAGGGGCTTCATTTCCGCCCGCCCGTTTTTCACTTACGCGGCTTGCAACTGGCATGAACACATTTCACTCGCTGGAGACTCTGCATTTCAATTGCTCAAGAATGAATCATACGGCGCTGGTTTTGATATTAGCAAGCCACAGTTCTGGGCTTGGTTCCTCACCTTGGCAGATTGTGTTTGCTCAAGCACCGTAAAAAAGAGGCCGCCCGTCTCACAAATCTGGTCGAAAGACAGTGCCGAGGTTTCCAGTGAGCTTGGAGAGTTTTTGCGCGAGAATTGCCTGAAAAAGATCTTTCCAATGGATAAAAAAGTGAGAGCCCTGCTCGATGTATCAGGCAGGTTTGTTTCAGGCCAGGCGTAAGTTCTACGTTGCTTCTTGGAGGAAACCCATGCTAATATGAACGATAGCGCTCAGCAAGACCAAATCACATGGAGGGCATCTAATGGCTTTCATTTCATTGATAGGTTCCACCTGGCCAATGGAGACTACCAATATACCAGCTCAGGGAGAGCAGTTGAGGCTTTCGAGAATGGCGATGCGGAACGAGCCTCTGTGCTCCTAGCCAAAGTCCCCCATCACACGTTAATTTGGACCGCCATCACCACTGGCACGCCTTCGGCTCTTCGAGCAGCACTTGCCAGTTCCAAAGATCTCTCATGGCTCCAGATTGTACCTGACCATATCCTTTACAAGCGCAGGAAAACTACGGGCTGGTCTAGTTGGAACGGAAAAGACTTGAGAAAGTCACGAGAAGGCGGATGGACAGGCACATGTCCTCCTAGCTTTGTCGTCCTGCTAAGAGTTAGCATGCTGGATGCTAGCGTCCCGGTGTTTGCAGCTTTGGCGGACTGGATAGACCGACAGGTAGAGAAACAGCTCTATGCCCAGCAGCTGTGGCAGGCTGGGGGGTTCATCATTCCAACACTCTCTTCCCGACTGGTGGGATCAGGAGCCTCGGTAGACTGTGATTTGTGGGAAGATGGTACAACTGGCCTCCACGTTGCATGCTCTTTCTGGATGCATGACGCCATCCAAAGCTTGGTGCAGAATGGCGCAGATCCTACGAGACTTACCCCCAAGGGTTACAACGCGCTTCACTCTTTCTTCCAACATACAAAGATCCCGCGGGACACCTATGAGTCAAACGTTGAAAGGGAACAAGCGACTTACTTCTTCAATAAGTCTCGAATCAACCAGTCAATTGATGCCATCACTACGGGCAATTTCAGCAAGGAATCGCTCATCAGCCGGCAGTGTCATCAGGGCTTCACACCTCTTATGTGCGGAGTGCGATCGACGAGATCATCTGGTACAGCGATAAAGCGCATCCTGGACCACGGTGCGGCTCCAGACCAGCAAGATGAAAAAGGTCGTACTGCGCTCATGTACTTCTTTTTCGATAGTGATGAATTTGTGGATAAGGACACTTCTATTCTTAAACATCTCCTACATGCTGGCGCAAGTCCTCTTACCATGGATAGGTCAGGAAACTCCGCGCTGAGCTATTGGGCGGCTACCACTGCTACGGTGAATCTGGATTATCTTTCCGCCGGGTTCAATACTTACAACAAAAGTTTTCATGCCCTTGCAAATAACGGATCGGTGTCATTCCAAGATCTTGCGGTAGAGCTGAACAGGATCAAGGTTCCGCTTGTTATTGCTTCCCGGCTCGGCAACGCTCAGCTGTGTTCAGCTCTGCTTGCTGGAGGAGCAGATCCAAACCAGAAGGATGAGGCATATACTTCGTTCTTCCGTCGCCACAGGGAAAAAGACTCCGATAAAGAACCTGAAGAAAATGAGAGTACCGTGGAATGGAACCCGCTACTAACCGCGCTGCAATGTCGGGCGTATAAGACTGCTGCAATACTGATCGAACACGGCGCTGACATCAACTTCGAATTGAAAAAACGCAAGAGACGCAGACACAATCGTTACATCTTCGTACAGGGCGGGGGTACACCTCTTCATCTTGCAATTGCCGCCCGAGATCGGGATTGGGTTGGTACTTCCAACAGACTGAGCCTGTCCCACGGCGGCGGAGATAACAAAGCCTGCTTTTTCCGTGGAGGAGTGAGCCATGACATGGATGATAGTTTGCTTGCTCTTGCTCGCTGGCAAATGCAGCAGTATGTGAACCCTCGTGACCAGGATGAGGAAGATTCGGATGTAAGTCGAACTGCGATCCTTTTGTGATAGAATTGAATTGTTAACCTGCCATAGCCTGAATGCGAGATAAGACGTCAGATGTATGCAAATGATAGTCGAGGTGCCAATCTACTGCCATATGATCGGACTCAGGAAGTTTTAGGCGTCCCTGCAAATCAATATCTTGCTGAAATTGTAACTAGGACTTCCTCGTTGGAACAACAACAAGAGGCTTTAGTGAGATATATGCTGTCGAAAGGTGCTTCAAGCAACGCATGTACGGTAAGAAGAATGAGTCTTCTTATGCTTGCGGTGAAAGAGAATCTCTTGAACATTGTGGAGATTCTTTTGGAGTACGGCGCGGACCCGAATGTTGCAGAAGTTGGTGGTGCTACTCCTTTGATGGTAGCCGCCCGGCACAATGAACCTGCCATTGTTGAACGACTCTTGAGATCAGGTGCCAATCCAAATGCGCAGCTGGACGTTAAGGATCCTGACAAATGCAAGTGCCAGGGCTTTATAGAATGGGGTAGTTGGAGTCATCGAACCTGCGATGCACCGTATACTGCATTGGCGCTGGCTGTGGCGTGGGGACATAAGGACGTTGTCGAGCTTCTACTCAAGCACGGCGCCGATCCAAATATAAAGATTACGCATCACGCCCATGGAAGACTGCCGTCGAAGCAGGACATGAAGCGGAGGAAAGGCTCCTCGTCTTCGTCTGATGATGAGTCGGATCCAGAGCCAGAGGAGTGGAAAGGTTACATTTCCGTCGGCACTGCTCTAACATGGGCCAGGGCGGAAGTACGTGATGTGCTTTTGTGTTATGGTGCAAATTCGGCGGAGGAAGATGTCACAAGAGAATGCGACTGCATCATCGAGCCCCAGCCCGACCGTCGCGATTTCCTGTTTTCAGATGATGATGAGATAGAAGAAGAGTAAATATTTGTATGTATTCCGGATTGCATATGGATCAAATGGATGAAAATATCTATGACAGTTGAAAATAGCAGTTCATACACCCAATAGGCGAGGATGGTCTCCCCAAATTCGATTAACAATTAACGATGAAGATACCGCACTATATCTGTGTCTGCCGTCATACTTCCCCGAGAACTCGCCCCATTCACAAATCCGTTGTTGTTCATGGCGATGAGATTCTTCGAAATAGCCTTGTAGCGAGTAGTTTCCGGTACCTGTCGCAAGAAAAGCATTCGAGTCACTATATGGCCCAAGTTTGGAAATGACCTCAACTACTGTCACCAAACGTCTGAGAAAGCTAGAGCCCATTCATAGTAAGATCCATGTGTTACACAGGCGTGTGCCGAAAATGCCCTACAACATGGAGTGCGAGTAAAGACAAAGGACAGAGTTGAAGTGAAGGCTCTAGCGTTGTGGTCTCAGCTTACAGGTTGCAATATAGTTATTGCAGTGATTGTCAGCTGGTCTAGCTGTCAGGATTAGGGAATTATCGCCGCTATCATACCTAGTCAAAACCCCTCCTCGGATCCGCGCGCTGCTATCTTTTGCCCACCTGGATCAACAGTGGTGGGCTAAAGAATGTGTTTCCCCGACTTTGTTTCCTCCTTACCCCGGCAGGCTCTCACATGATAGACGCCTTGTGAGGCAGAACTAGGAGCAGATGTGGCAGCCCGCGTCCACTCAACCCTGTAACCTCCACAACCAGTGTTGTAATCATGCAGAGAAAAGAGAAAACAGCAGGATTCCCGCAAGATAATTGGTCTCCCTCTACACACACCTGTGAGACCTCAGGCAGCAGGCAGTCTGATGCTGCAGCCACCGCACAAAATCGCAGGCCGCCCACCCTCCCACTGTATGAAATGACACAGTCTGCCTAGCATAGCACACAACGGTTTTATGATGAGAAATGGCCGGTATTGCGCATTCGAGGTCAGACGAAAGCTAATATGCACTTGTGAGCCAGCTGTTCGCTGATCCGAAGCCATGGCTGACGTGTATTATAAGCGGCCATTGTTCCCTCTTGTATTGTATTGTATTGCACCCTTCCAATCATCCCTCTAAACTTCACCTTCCCGACTTCCGCTGGTGGCTCCTCAACACCAGCTTGATCCGCTTGCTACACTGGCTCCCTTCCCCGGTGACTTCGGCCAGCCTCAGCGCGTCTTCAATCCATCGCCCACCCCCCATCCCGATAGCCTAGACTATTATGGTGGTGTAGGATTTGGTGATCCCCATGCCTTGGGGTGGGTGGAGGAAAGAAGATGTGCTGATGAGGGACGAGGCCAAGAGATCAACAACGCTGCCATTTGTGATCACATACTCAATTCTCCTGTGCCTATTGGTGAAATTGATCCAGAGCACACATGGGCTTGTCCATTTTTCAAGCTTGACCCAATAAAGCACGCCGAATGCCTGGGGAAATACTCTTTCCGGAGGATTCATGACGTAAAACAGCATATACTCCGCCGGCACACCGTGGCAGAGTATCACTGCCCCAATTGTTGGGAACAGTTCTCCCATCGTGCACCGTGGAGGGAGCATACGCGGAACATCAACTGTCATCCCACCCGAGGTCCAGAGAATCTCAGCCAGCAAGAGTGCCAGGCCCTCAAGAATACCCGTTTCCCGGGGGGTCTTAGTGACAGGCAGAGATGGTACTTGATATGGCAGCAACTGTTCGGCATCCACCCACCACCTTCCTCACCCTTTGTTGGGAACGTTTTCTGTGAAGTCATTCAAATCATTCGTTTGTATTCAACATCGGTTTTCCAGGAGAGACTCCCAGAGATCCTGGAGCGACATGGTGTCAACTTGAACTCCAACGCCACACCTTCGCTCATCAATGAGATCTCGACTTTGAGCCATCCCGTTCCGTCGGAAATAATACCAGCCCGTCATCGGCAACCACCCCCCGATCATCAGATTCTTCTTGGCGGCAATCCCGCTAGCGAACCTATCCAATCTTTCGGTGGCCCGGATTTCTTAGTCTCAGTTCACAGTAGCCCAACAGACCAACTACTTTATGCTACCACGCATAGTGAGCCCCAGGATGAGCAAAACTCAATGCAGCTACAGGACAGCGATGCTCTATCTCAACTCAGCTCTGATAACTCTTTTCCTACGCCTCAATCTAGTCAGGGACAAGACTGGTCGCCTCACACCCGGGAACTGTCTTCCTCGATGGACCCTCAATCGGAGCGGTTTAACCGCAACAGTGTCGATTGTCAAATAATCGACACATCCTTGGAGTCCACATTCACTCAGTACTGGTGAATGTGCTCTGTACGTTCTTACGAGGCCAAACTCGCCCAGGCTCCTGCTACCAATCTCTCGCAGATTGTTAGTCGGGAGTTAAGCCTGTCGGCGGTGGTCTCGGCCCAACCAGAAGTTCTTCTGGGGGACTAGGCCAACGAATTGATGAAATTCTTCTCGAATTTTGTCTTTCTCGAGTCAAAGTCCTACATGTCTCACTGAATACGTTATTTCGTGTCTTGCTTTTGCGTGTTTTTCACTTTTCCTATCTTCTCTTCTTCATCCATTAAACACACAAAAAAAACGGGGAAAATACGATTAAATCTTCACCAAAAAATTGTGGAATTAATGGTAGGAGGACATGATTTTTCTTAGATAGACACTACAAGGCAGGCGACCACAGTAGCCCTTTGCCGTCCTCGCGGACAGACAGAGTTGTTTTTCTTTACCAATATTAACTAAAGTCATTCGCTCAAAGCTGAAGTCTCCTCTTGCTGCGATAACCACAACTGCATTAAATCTGGAATCGTAGCCTACATCATGGTTCTAACTGCTCACATTTTAGCTGAAACCACCATTTCACTTAGTTACATGTGAAATATCCAGAGATAAGTAACACATGTTAAGATTACAAAATGGCCCCTTGCCCCTCCAACAACGAATCTACCTCTTCTAGCAGGAGGTCCCCTTCAAGTTGGGTGTACAAGGCGTTAGGCTCAAAGGGTATCATATCCTCCATCCAAGGAAATTGCGATCCTTGATGAGGTGACGGAACCTTCACAAGGCTCAGATGTCCGATATAAGGTATTAAGAAAGGTAGGCCTTCATCGCTTCCTTCCACCAACATATAATGACCTCCGACGGCGGCATCCGCTTCTATCTCTAGTAATTTCTTGATTTTGAGCCCCCTAGCTTCTGACCTGTATAGCGAATCGACCAGCTTTTGCATCTCAGTGACTAGATCGATATCTTGAGGGCGCAAATGCTGTATGTCGTTGCCACAGCTATAACGGTGTGCCTGGATGTGAGTCAAGAGAAGCATGATGGCAGCCGAGATTGCTTTGGAATCTGTACCGCGATACACGTCGCCGTCATGGTAGTTCCGCATCACGACAAATCGCGACAGCACTTGCCGACAAGCGGTAGCAATAACGGCCCCGCTATATGGGTTCTTCTCCGAGGGCTCGGCGGAGCGTAACTGTGTGATGATGAAAGGCATGTGTATTTGCATGAGAAACCAATAATGATTGAGTTGAGTCGATATTCTTGCGGTCTCGTACACCATGTTTTCGTCCGCCAGGTCCCGCAGAGAGCTCTTGATAGACCACCAACCCGCCGGCAAGTAGTTTATTTCAGCTCTCATGGTGTTGTCCATTTCGCGCGCCTCTTGGTCGTACACTGGCAAGGCATTGCCTTGCTCGAAACGCATGTTCCGTTCAATTAGCCGGCACCCAAGCACCGAATGAGCATACTCCAGCCTTGAACTAGGATTCTCGTCAGAAGCCATCGAAATGGATCCCGACACACCAAAATACGGCAGCCCGAGTTCAAGAGACATGATACGGTCACCATAGACCAGCCGGGCTAAGATCTGGTTTATCTCACCTCCCGGGTGCTCTAGCACCATGAGCTGGGCTATTGATAACGCTCGGCGGCACTTGAGCCAGGCAGCTTTCGGCTTATTATCGTTGACGTAGTAGATGGCTTCCAGCATCAAGGTCTCGATTCCTTCTGCCGACTGCATATGGACATCCAAGGATGAGATGTGACGTGAGACGATCTCGACATATCGCGCTGCACTGCCGCTTGGATCCTGGGCATCCTGTAAGCAGAGCGCCAGCTCCATGAATTTCCGGCCATACCAGACCGGGCGGGCTGCGTCAGGCGGCAAACCCTCGTCGCGCGGCGATGAGGAGGAGTCGGGCCAGAGGATCTTGTAAGGCATGTGCGAGGACTTGGTGTGGGAGAGAATCAGCGCAGATTCCGAAGGCGGCGGCAAGACAGAGCGCAGGTAAGTGGTGATACTGATCGAGGTGCCCCGGGGAGACCGAGGACATGCCACCGCAGAGCCGAGCTCAGCAGCTGTTGCTGTGTCTGTCGAGCGTCCTCCCCGAAGGCGCCTTTTCTGGAGCAGCAAGGTGACGAGGTCCTCGATGTGATTCACGCGCTCCGTGACTTTCTGCTGTCCCATCTCTGGCTCGCGCCCTTGGCTTAGACACGGCAGGCCGCGACGCTGGCACGAGTTGCATTCGGCCGACAGGGGCTGGAATTCGCACCGTCGCTTGCGGCGCTTGCATTCGAGGCAGCTGAATGTGCCCTTTCGCAGCTTGCGGGCTCGCGTGCTTCCCGCGTCACTTGACGAGGGAACCTCCATTTCGGCACAGAAAGATTCTATGCTCTCTTTTTCTTGCTCACATGTGATGGAACCTGGATAAATTGGTCTTCTTCAAAGGGGAAGCGCAACAGTCCCTTTCATTTAGGCTTGAGACTGCGGCGGCGGTGGACGAGAGCTTATCTCCGAACCGCCACAAGCCGCGCTGCAGAACACTCGAACTTCCTTGGCGTGTCCAATGGATGAGCTAAGCGAGCCATGCTGCTATAAGTTCGCCCGTGGCCCGTCCGAGTGTGATCAGGGAGAGACACAAGACGAATAATATGGCACTGTGATTAGCGGTAGGTGTGATGGATGAGATGATGCTGAGCATCCGTGTGCTTTTCACCGACAAAGCAACAGGACCTCCATGTAGTACATAATGGTGCCTGTTTTCCTGTTTTTCTCTCTCTTTTCTTTTTGTGATGGTATAGTACTACAAGAACTTTCAACACCACAAGCAATCCTTCCGTGTAAGCTTACCGTCCGCAAATACACATCTGGCTATCCGCAAACACATACACTGCATTGACTGCATGCTGTCTCTGTTTGTCTCCAATACCTATGTAGGTGATACTCAATGGTCGCTTTCTGGTCGGGATTTCAGTCGCTGCCGTTCCTCCCACATATTAACCTCACCCCCTCCTAACCGCAATATTTCTAGTATCCAGTCTCCCGACTCACAATCGCTCGAAAATGGCAGCAAACCCCTTTTCCGCTGTTCCATACGAAATTGCGGCTCATATCCTGAGTTTTGTCCCACGCTCTGACCTCCCGACTGTGTGCCTGGTCAATAAATCACTTTGCGGCTGTGCTGAACCCATTCTCTACTCTGATATTAGCCTCGAATGGAGTCATCGGCAGAAAAACCCGCCCATCACTCCTCTATTACAAAAGCTTTTCCGCAGACCAGAGCTGTTCAACTGCGTCGGTGTCGTCTCGCTAACTGGGGATGATTTTGTTGGGAGTAACCCTTCTCCCCCTGTGACGGCCACAGAATCTGCAGTGGTGGAGCTTGAACGCATCATCAAAAGCTTCGACGCTCCATTTACCGACGTCTGGGTAAAGAAACTCCGAGAAGGCAGTATGGACGCCTTTGCCGCTCTATTGATAGCGCCTCTCTCCAAGATCCGCCGCCTCACCATCACAGACAATTATATCCAATGGCTTGATCTCATTGGCAAAGTCCTCCGGTTAAAGGCTATCGGACAGCATCTGCCCAGATTTGAACGGCTGAAACTCATCGTCTACTTCCACGGGCTTGATCGTTATACGCCCACGCTCCCGCACAGGGTTGATGAAGTCATGGCTCTCCTCTCTGTACCAACAGTCACCCACCTGGCGGCTCATATCGGCGGCACTGAGATTTTCCACTGGCCCGCAGGAGAACCCGATCTCAGTTGCTTAACCTCGCTAGACCTGGAAGGGTGCTACGCAGCTTTCATGTCAAAGATGCTCGCCCTGACTCGGAACCTAAAGTCGCTTTCCTGGCGATGGGAATATGTGCCTGAGACAGGTGATCCTTGGATGAACAACTATCTTGACTTGGACGCAATCATCTCGGCCGTACTACATGTCAGAGAAACTTTGGAGAAACTCCGGTTTAGAATCACTCTCGGCAACTATTTTCTTGGTGGTAGACCTGCCATGGATGTCTCGGGCTCGTTCGATGGTCTTATCAACTTGAGGCGGTTAACCGAACTCGATGTGCCGTTCGCATGTCTGACAGGCTTTGGAATCAAGCCCCAACCTCTGGATCGACATGTTCCTCGCAGCGTTGAGACACTTTCTCTCTCCACAGGTATGCTCTGGCATGATACAGTTCTATGGGCTCTGGGTGATAGGCGGCCCAATGACTGGGATGTTGCGCAGCAGCTTCGAGAATTTGTCAAGAGAATCCCCACCAGGCTGCCACACCTACATCTTGTCAAGATTATTGATGATATTGGCGGCTTTAGAAACGGCAAACTCGATGAGATACTCGCAAAGCACCCTTTGCGTGAAGATATCGAGATTGTGCACGACTTTCCACCCCTTTGGCGACTTCTGTAGATAGTACATAGTTCGTTAGCTCCTTTAAATTTGTATAACAATATTGTTTTATTGTTCGAAGTATTGATGTGAACTAAGAACGCGCAAGAAGACACAACCATACATCCACTGTCTCTCCCAATCCGACGTGGTACATCAGTGAGGATACAGGATCACGGGGCCAATTCAATTCCCCTTCACCAAGCAGTGATAATTCCTCTCCTTCGTCTTGAACGGGATTCACCGCCTCGCCTTACATTTCTGCCGAACAAATCTCCGAAACCCTCATCACTGAACTCATTGGAAGCGCCTCCCGGGTTGTTTGCTTGCTCTTCCTTGGCCGCTTTCTTAGCCTCTTTCCTTGCCTGCTCCCTTGCGCGTTTCTCTGCCGCTGCTGCTTGTCTTTGCGCTATTTCGTACGCCGAAGCAATGCGCACAGGAGGAGGAGGGTGGTTTCTTGAAGGATGTCCAAGAGGCCGAACCTCAGTCTTGAAATCACCCAAGTTAAAGGAGTCGGCGATCTTGGTATCCTCAGGAACGACCATGTATCCTGCCTTTTTAACCACAGTATCACAACTTCCACTGTCTGGCGGACCCTGTTTCCCTGTCCTTATCTTTACATGGCCAATGTCAGTTGTCTTCGAAAATCAGTGGTTTGGGGGGTTGTGGACTTACACCATTGCATGGAGGGCGAATAACGATCCTCTGGGATTTGGTTCCTTCATTTCCTACTGTGACTATCATAGGTTTCTTCTTCTGCCTATGCGGCAGTTGTCCAGGAAAGCACTTCCCATGAAGACCCATCACCCCAAATTCGCCGCACTTGGCTCCATAGAGGTGCTCTTTTTTCGGCCTGTCCTCCCATTCTGGCTTGCTTTCCTTGAGGTATCTCGCAGGCACTTCCTGGTCTTTGGCGACACCCTTTCCGTGGACTTCGGAGGTGGAAATGAGGATCCTTGCGCTGCCCCTCCGGCCCCTCTTTGGGTTGAAGTACTCTACAGTCGTGACATCAGGAACAACACCGTCCTTCCCGTATTTGTCTTGCCACTGTTTATGTGCTTCCACTGCAATTTTGGCGAGCTCTCCTGGTGTTGGTGCTGGGGTTCCCTTTTTCAGCCTGAGGACAGAAGAATACAGCTTTCCACCACCCTCGTTTTGCACGCTATAGTCCTGTTTCATCCCAAGATCAGGGGCTTTCCATTCTTCCTTTTTCTCCTCCTTCCCCCCGTTCTCACTTGTTCCTGGTTTAGTTGCTGGTTTGGGCGTTGTCGGGCCACAATTCGGGCCCTCTGAGCGCTTCACCTTCCCACCCTTGGTCTGGATGAGGCAGCTGCTCTGGTTTTCCGCTGGCGGCTTGGCACCAAGCGCCTCATGGTTTCTGGATGGCTTTGCCACATTGGGGCCCTTGGACTTTGTGTGAGATTGAGCCCTACTAGGATGTCCAGCAACCTTCTTGTTCTTTGGGCGCTGGGCCGGGCTGGCAGAGCTTTTCTTCCTCGAGGTGCCAGTCTTAGCTGCTTTCGTGCGACTTTGAGGAGACTTCGCCTTCCTATTGGTTTTCGGGCCGTTGGGAGTTTTCTTGTTGTCGAGAGTCTTCTTGTTTATCTTCTTGTTGTAAGGATCCTATTTTCTACCAGAAGTCTTCTTATCCTTAGGAGCCTTCCTGTTCCTGGTAGAATCCTTGTTGCTGAGAGCCTTCTTACTACCCTGGGTCTTCGTTTTGCCATTTGACCTCTGACTTCCAGGAGCCTTCGTGTGTTTGGGACTCTTCCTGCTGCTAGGGGTCTTCTCTTTGCCGACAGGATTGTTCTTTTTCGAAGTCTTCTTGGTCTGTGGAATCTTCTTGTTGCCAGGACGCTTCTTGCTACTAAGCCTCTCCTTTTTGCCTAGACCGTTGTTTTTGCCGGGTGATGTCTTACTGCCTAGAGCCTTGCCATGGCTGGGAGTCTTGCTTTTTGCGACTTTTGGTTTGTAAGTCAATTTTCCCTTGATGTCGGTCTTCCCTCTTGGTACACCTTGTCCTGGTACCGGAGATGCTTTCTTTTCGAACGACTTCCCTTTTAGACCAGTCTTGCCCTTGGGGGGGATCCTTTTCTTCGAAACTCCCTTCTTTGACACTTTGGACTTTGCGCCAGGACGTGTCCTGCCTTGAGGCTTTCCTTTGGAAGTCTTCCCTTTGGGCGTGGACTTCTTGGTAGTCGCCTTTTTCAACTCATTCTTCTTTGAGGGGAGTTTCTTTGAAGTCGACTTCGGAATTCTCTTGCTTGGGGCAGTTTTATGACGCCAAATACCCTTTCCCTTGGAAATCTTACTCTGAGAAGGGGCCTGCTTATGAGCAGCCTTTCTCGCAGCATGACCCTTCGGGCTGGACTTCTTTGGGGTCTTATCTGGTGGAGGCTTCCTTGAGGCCTTCTTTCCCGGTGCTGTCTTCTTCTGAGACCCAGGTTTAGGACTGGCTTTCTTCTGTGAGTCGACCTTCTTTGGCGTCCCTTGCTTTGGAGGCCTAGTCTTCTTCACAGGCGTGGCCTTCTTTGGGAAGCCGGCTTTCTTTTTTGGGCTGGCTTGCTTCTTTGGAGGGGCGGCCTTCTTTCGAATAGCAGCATTCTTTACGGAGACAATTTTCTTTGGAATTGGTTTTGAGGGAGCCTTTCTTTTTGCGAGAGTATTCTGATTTGCTTCCACGGTGCAGTTTTCCTGATCAAGCTGCTTTCGTTAGCCTAGGTCTCAACCATGTTCTCTTTCAAACGATATTCACAGTCTTACTTGTGGTATCAAAAGGCCTGCTCGACCGATGGCGTTTACCCGTATGAATATAGCCGGGGCTGTTGAATAAGTGGTCGCTTCAGGCTTGTCTAATGATTTGCCATATTTTCCTGTCTCTTCTGGTCCTGCTTTGACCATCAAGGCCAAGCAGAAAATTGTATAAAGGATGATGTACAGGGGCATATTCATAAATCACATTTCTCTTTGGTTTTAAAAGATAGTGTCGACAAGATTGAGATTGATGATTTGCATTGAAACTCCCTCTAAAGATATTGCTGCATACTTTTCATACTTATAAACCCCCAAACAAGGCATCTCCTCAGCTGCCACTCCGGGACAGAGCCCCTACTGATACTCACATATCTTTTGCTTATTCTGTTCTTCACAAAGTCATGTTCCTGTGACTTGATATGTACTACGATCTTGTCAGCTTCCTGGTTGTGCTTCCGTTTATGTCAGCCGATAACATTTACTGCAGATTACAGCCTCTCTCGATTCGCGCAGTCAGCAGTCACAACTACCCAGCCACAATAAGCTTGGTTCCACGACTTCCGTTACCTAATAATTCGACGGCACATCATCTACCTAGGTGAGGAAGAGTGGGATGGCAATAGTTCACGGCACCCTAACTGCAACCAAGTCAACTTGGAAGAGTAAAATCTCACCTAACCCGAGCTCCGGATTCACAGATTCACAAGATGGATCGCGGCTCAGCTTCTTCGTCAGCGACGAGAGATTTCGATGCATAGTAGGATCGGTAGCTCGTTGAACACGGGCCTATTTTTGTGCGGGCGGTGCCTTTACCTGTTCGATATGCTAATATTGGTAGCATATGATTAGATCATGGTGCTGGTGCGCGTGAGAAATGGTACGCAGGAAATACAGGAGGGGTCATATCAGATGCCTTTCCAAGATGGTTTACCTCTACGCCAGATTCTTACTCTTAGCTGGACCGGACCTATTTTAGTCCTTCTTATTTGGTGGAATGCTAAATCCGGATATGAACATTCGATTCTGCTACAATTTTGCCCACCTAACGGCCTTGAGCCCGCGTCCAATACTCGTGGATATTGATGTCGCCTTGTCTCTGTCAGCCACCTTAGGCCTCCATAGAACTGGTCCACAGGGTCAGCAGAGCTAGCAATTACCGCATGGCAAACGAGCACCACTGCTTGCTCATCATTCTACGTGCTCCAACATTCCTTGAGGAGCCATTTCACAGCGTTATGAAGGCGAAATATGACGGACCGGAATGCCTCTGGCCTCTTGGATAAAAGCGAAGTACATCAACCAAAAATTGACCTCAGACCAAGATCCTCCATAATATCAGCCCAATGAACATCATGCTGATCGAAAAGATCATTGTCGTAAGCCTCCCAGATCGCCTTAACGAGTTTCTTTGCTATCTCGATCGGCTTTGGATACAAACAATTCTCTAATAAACCCAATCGTTGCATGATAAGATGGCGAGCGTCGCCAATCAGTATAATGTCTTCACTCACTGAGGCAAAGGCGTCGAAAGATTCATGCGAAGAGGTCCAAGAAAGGTCGCTTAAGTCATAGGACATGGCATGATCAACCGAAAGTCCACTAGAATCCCCAAGGGCTGCTGCGAATTGGACACTTGATAGGCCTTCCCGAAAGCGTAATCCTGTGCTGGCAGCAATGTAAAGAATGGGCAACAGGGATCGGCTCCCAGATTCCGGAGGAATCTTCTTTAAAAGATCCGTCAAGTATAAGCCCAGGGGCACAACCCTATCACCCCAAATGATATCGTCCCTAGCCATTTCAAACGACCCAATGGGTGATACCTCTGTACTTGTGTTCGGGAAGGTCTGGTAAAGATGCAGGAGGGCGGATAGGCGGTACGCTTCAGCCGCTTCGATAAGATGTTGTCGGGGAGTAAGTCGGTCCCCAGTTTCGCCGATCTCATCCAGATTTGGGTACTCCAATTGCTTGAGCATAATTTCCAGTTGCTCGGCCCTCGCCATGACATCCAAGGCATCTAGCAGACTCGCAGGACCTTCTTCATGGCCCCTCATCTTCTTCCGGAACGATCGACAACACTTTATCGACTCACAAAAGAGCTGAGAGGTCAGCGTAGAAATTCCCGTCCATGGATGTGGCGTTAATGTTAGGTATTGAGTTCCGTTGCCGTTGACGTCGAAATGCAGCACCGTGTCCTCGGAGTTGTCATCGCCGACGACTGCGCCAGGCCCATCTTCATACCCCATGAACGTAACCAACGTATCCCAATATTGAGTACTGCTGACAAAGAAGCTCAGCATCTCGCGGTCAGATGGTGAGAAAGATTGGGAGTGTAGTTTGGCCTCTGATAAAATAGCCTTTGTATTTCTCAGAAGCCGTTTGACCAGCTCGTGGCGATTGATCCAGCCAAATATGGTTCCCATACACACAAGGGCAAATAACACCCCTACAGGAAGCGTCTGCATTACCCCCCTCGTATTGAGAACCAGTATTTCTGACGTAATGGCATTCATTGCAGCCTGCATGTACTGGAATGCGGCAGCCTTCATCTGCGGAGCTTGATTCGCCATATACGCAGCCGACATGCTTTGAAGGGAGGTAAGCACCGCTTCTGACTCTCCCCACAGTCTCTTCGCCAACGTCCGGTTAAGACTGATTTCAGAGTCAAAGGCTGACCAAATAGGGCAAACCTGTTCAAACCACCGGGTGATGAGGAGAGACGGGATATTCAAGATGTTTCGAGGTACCCTTCGGACTTTATCTCTAGCTCTAGCGGCTGAAAGCGAAACAATCTCATCAGAAGACTCTTTATCTTTGGCTGACTCGTGGTGGTTCTGAGTAGTTGTATGTGGCGGAGGGCTGAGATGAAACTCAGACATACTACCAAAGTTTAGGAGTTGCAAGGTGGGATCTGGATCCTTCCATGGCTGCTCATTGTCAAGATCGGGAGTATAAACTAATTGACTGTCCGGTTCGCGGTCAACACATTCGAATGCGGAATCAGAATGCAAGAGAAAGGATGCATCGAAGCTTGGTGGAGAAGGAGCTTCAGCCGGGTTCGAGGCATAACCGGTCAAGTCTGGAGATGTCAGCCGTTCCCCGGATTCCAACGGACTGTGATTTATTTCTCCGGGGCGCATTTTCAATCCAGCGGACCTGGTGTGACAACCTCGATTGTTGTCCCATGCTGATGTATGAGTATAGAAATCGACCTGATGTTTCATTGACCATTGGAGCTTGCGTCCATAACCTCCGCACTTGACACCTTTCCCACGACAGTTGAAGCATTCTGGTTTAGCTTCGTCACATTTCAACTGTGACCCAGATTACTTTCTGAACACGAGAGATCCGACAGCACAAGGAAGCTTACATGTTTTGTTTTACATGTGACACAGCCTGACCGTGACTTTGTTGTGCAGTTTCTTCTGTTAACCCTAACTGCTTTGCCGGTCTTTGAGCCTTTTCTGCCTGAATGCAAATCTTCAAACATTATCCAAAGAGAAGTAGCGAGAAGGAGGCAGTCGATCGAGACGAGTTGTGTTGGGCCGTATTGATCCACAATCCTCCAAACAAGTGTTCGCTAAATCGGGCCCAAGAAGAAAGCAATTTCGATCAGGCCCACTCTGAGACCAGAAGGGATCGATCACAAGGCAGCCCAGAGATTTGTTTCGATGGACCCTGTTGCCGTGTCTGAATAAACTCGAAGGGGGAACTGCACCGCCAGTTGTCATGAATATGGAGTAAGAAGCGAGCGATGCTCCGATGAGTGGGAGAGCACAATGAAGCTCATTCTGCATAGCTATTGCGTGATTCAATGGCCCACTCCTCGCATTACCGTAAAGAATTTCTCTCTATGGGCTAACGTCGACTTCCTACTGGCGATGTCGAGCACTTGTGGGGCCTGTTTGCCCATGTCATCCACCGTTTAAATGACGTGCGCTGACGATAATCATCTAATAACTCCAAGGCCCATTAAGACATGAGAAGACAAAATCGGAACATCGACATATTCAGGAGGGAGCAGGGGATTCACAAAGCCTAGTGCAGTATAAGCCCAGGAAGATACTCATAACCAAGAATGAAAACTGAAAGAGAGGAAATTAGACCAACCCTCAATGAACCCAGCATTCAGATAAAGCCAAAAGAAAACTAACTGACCTGCTTAACCCTTCAAGTCACCCATGAGTCCTCAGAGAGGGTTAATATTACGTTACTAATCCACCTTGTTCGTGTTCAAGTAGGCATTTGATGAAAAGCGGAATTAGTTCTCTTGAAAGACATAAATCTAATGAATTTATACTGATGTAGATCAAGTGGATGTATAGGGTAGGTAGATAAGTTCCAGCCTAACCTCGACTGGCACAGAGTCTCGCAAGTTCGCCTTTCATGAGCCTTTGCATTCATATAATGATTGAGAAACAGACATGAAGGTTTCTTAATGGCTGTGAAGCCATTAGTATTTCAAGCGTACGTGAAATTTGAGCAAACTTTCTGTTCCTTTTAGCCCTTCCGAGTTGGTCAAGCAAACATCCTCAAATCTATGTACTGAGCTTGCAAGCCCAAACGTGGAGTTTCCCCTATTCAACTTCCATTACTGTTCTTATACACCCTATCAACTTAATTCACGCCGAGGGATTTCAAACTTGTCCATCTATGCCTAGTGTGGTGCTAGTTCGGTCATTTCAGATCCTTGAAGTTCATGACAATAGCCATCGCGTTGGGGTGATCAGCAACGTTGCCAACAAGTCTAACACTAGCGCAATGAGCCACAACAAAGACGAGTGGGCGGAAAGGCATCCGTGAGGATATGGTGCTCCATATTGACGTCAATACGTGTTGTTGCACTGCCCAGCCAAGGAGCTAACCAGACTCTTGGAGTATTTATTGCCCAGTGTGGGACGATTGAATGCTTCAGATGCCCAAGAAACTAAGCAACAATAAAAACTAAGCAAGCACCAGCGGCCGTAACGGCCCGCTTTGGCTAGGTTGAACCCTAACATCATTCAGTCATCTCTCTAGCTGCGGTTTTGGTTAGTACATTGAATGATACCTTACATTGAATGAGTAGGAGATGTAAGGGGGTGAGTTTCCACCAAATGTTCCTCCTTACATGATAGCCATTCGACGCTATTGGCAGCACATCGGAGTAGGCTGTCATTGACTTCGAGGATCTAAGGGGTGGAGTTACATTGGAATATCTCTTCGTGGCTAGTGTCCACCGAAGCTAGGTCAGTCAGTCAATTCTAGACTGCCAATCTTGTGCCACTAAGATGGCTTTCACCATACTTACGTTCAAAGTGGCATTTCTTTTTTTTCTTCCATGCCTACTTTGGGGGACGAAAATCGTCCCTCTCCCTCAGTAGTTCCACCGGCTTACACCGAGCCAGTCTTAGTAACATCAGCGGGTTATTTGGTCACCGGGGCGCCGCATACACAAATGTTCTTTTGGTTCGACTCCGCCTCAATGAACATGGGCCACAGTCACGAGGAGACTCGGTCTGGGGGCGGGATTGAAATTTTTTGGTGTTGGTGGTGCGAATTCCCAAACCGTACGCAACTTTGTCCACTCACTGCACATAGATATGGGATAGAGCCGAGGCTGTGATTTTCTTTCTGGATCACATTTGTTGGGGGAGGGTCATGCGTAGGAATCTAGGTTGCAGCCATCCACCTCTATTGGCTCTCCTTCGTGTCCTTGTCACTCTAGTGACTAGTTGGGAATTCAATGAAGCGCTTGTGACTGAATCATTTTTTAAAGTTCGGACTGTTGGTGGTCAATGTCTGTTTGATTAGAGAAGCGAGTCTCTAATTGGGTCTAAGTATTGCATAATGGCCCAACCTCTCCTCTGCGATGAAAAGATAAGAATGTGCCTTCGTCTCTCTATCAAATGGCTTGCTAGCTCTTCTATTCTTCATCTGTTGTTGACAAGTGTTCTTACTATACCAACCGTTTAGAAGATTGTATCCTACACCTGCTTTCTATTCTTGAAACATGCCACCCTTATTTCGTGCTGATCATATTGGGTCGCTGATGAGGCCTAATCGCCTCCGGGATGCCACTCAATCCATTGGCTTCTATGAGCGAATCACTTCCTCTGATGACCTACTGGCCGTGCATGAGGGCATCAGATACGTTGCCAAGCAGCAGCTCAGCTTGTCAGTCCGCCCCATCACCACTGGAGAATTCGATCGCAGATTCTTCCTGGGGGGCTTCTTTGAAAACCTAGACGGAATTGAGACTCACCATGCCGTGCCAATTGAAGGAGGGCCGTTTCGTTCAGGGCTCTTTCACCTCAATGGCATAGCCAAACTAGGGCACAAGAACTGGCCAACCTGGGTTGCTACAGGGAAGATCAAACATGTGAAGCCCTGCTTTCTAGACTCTTGGGAGATGCTCAAGGCAGCTGTCCCGCCCCCAAAGTGGAAAGAATGCAAACTGACCTTGCCGTCTATGACATCCCAACACATACATATGAAGCGTGGCGAGGCATATCTCCCCGGAGTGTACTCCTCGGACAAGGAATATTTTGCCGACCTCATTGTCGCGTACCGCAAGGAACTTCAGATCTTGTATGACGCTGGGCTTCGTTCAGTACAGGTTGATGACCCTTTGTTTACCTGCTTTGTGGACCAGAATTTCCTGAGCAGCCTCCAAAATGAGGGCGTTGATCCGAACGAGCTTTTGTTGCTCTATATTTGGGCACATAATGAATGCCTTAAGGATTTGCCCAAAGACTTCCACGTGGGTATTCATATCTGCCGCGGAAATGCGCCGAAGAACGTGCTTGACGAGTTTGGGCCCCATTCGTCCTTTGAGCCGATTGCGCAGAGACTTTTTGGGGGACTTGACTTCCACACCCTCTATCTTCAGGTCGATGAGGGTGATTTGGAGCCTCTCAGGTTCATACCTCGGGGGACCAACGTTGTTTTGGGGGTTGTGGACACGAAGACTCCGGAGTTGGAGCAGGTAGATGCGGTCGTAAAGCGTGTTAGGGAAGCGGCTGGGGTGATCGCAAGGGGCCAGGAACGGCCGGTGGAGGAGGTGTTGACAGACTCGATAGCGGTCAGCCCCACCTGTGGCTTTTGTTCTGTTATTTTCTTTGACGGCGTGGAAGGCGAAAGGCGGATGTGGGAGAAGTTGTGTCTTGTGCAGGATGTGGCCCGCTATATCTGGCCTGAAAGCGCCACCAAGGTGTAAACACTCAAGAGCATGTCGACTTGTAATAGAGGATATGAAACATTCCAGTCTGTAACAGTTGTGGGATTAAGAATTTATTAATCGCTTCATAATTTAGGAGAAGGAGCGCGTTGCTGTGACGGATCTCGAACTCGCTCGTCCGCTATGACAGATGGTTCCTCCATAGATTTACACATAACTCTCCCCATGTTCACACGACAAGAGGAGGAGGAAAACTCCCCCGAGACCCACCAGGGATTTCTTCCCCATGTACTGTACACAGGTTAGCCTGTAAAATAGTTGACAAAAACCATGACATTGAGTGCAGTCATCAGAGCTAATCAATTAATGCCAGGCACAAGAACTAAAAGGGAATTTCTGGCTTCAAGGGGCCAGGATCCCGAAGCCGGGTACATGAACTATTGATTTTCACTCCCCATTTGCCCACAAATACAGAGATGCAACTACCCCTGCGTATATGCACAGGGGAGGGAGGCTATGCAGAGCTTGGCCAGATCAGCATTCCATTGGTCGGCTAATAACTAACTGGGCTTTATAGAGTGCCTTGACTATTTCAAGAAGCGGTGTGTTATCGTGATGGCGGATTAGTCTGCAAGACGAGATGCCTAATTCATGATTGGCTGTTGTTGATCATTTACGGTCACTAAAACAGCTTGCCGATCTCGAATGGTTGTTCAGCTGGCTGACCGAGTTTGTGGCGTGGGCTGGAAATAACTGGCCATGTGATAAAACCCCTGCCTGAGTTGCGTAACTGCCGGGGGAGAAAACGCTAGAGATGCAGCCGGTGTCAGTTCGAACCCATCCAACGGCATCAGATTGTCGGGGCCAACCAAAAACGTCAGACTATCGAGTACGTCCTATCTGGTTCCAGACAGAAATGCATTGCCCAATGTGTCAGGTGTGGGAAAACGAGAACTATTGGGTGAGCAGAAGGAGAGTCAG